GCGTGGTAAATCTCACCAAAGTGATCTCTCGGCCTCAGCCTGGGCAGGAAGAGCTGCCTGGACCTTCAGGAGCGGGAAATGCTCTGGAGCTCAGGTGGATGTTCCCGGTTCTGGGAATACCACGGAATGCAAACCCTCTGTGGTGTTTCCTGATCAGGCACTGCTGCTTGGCAAACAGCTCATCTTCCAGCAGCTCCCCTCTTGTTACCCACACACCTGAGATGACAAATAAGCCAACTTTGTGTGCCCACTTGGTTAATCTGCGCTTAATCTGTCGCTGCCAACGCTCGTGGGAGCCTTTGAGGAGCTCCGTGACCCCGTTTCAACAGGGGGATTTGGCTGACAGCAAACACAGAATAAATGACTTCCAGGAGGGGATACCCTATTATTAGACCCAAAAAAATATCCTTTCCAGATGCATTTCACACCTTCAGTCTGAGAGATTCCTACGTGGCAACAGGTGGGAATTTCTGCTACACGGAATTTGATTTTGCCCAACAAAAAAACCAGATCAGCTCGAAGTCTCTCTTTTCTTGAACACCAATTTAGAGGTGCATAATGAGAGCAGTTTTGTGGCAGAACAGTTAGGGGGTTTTTATTTTCTGCTGGCATTATCTAACTGAGCAAAGTGCCTGGGAGCCCACAGTAAAAAAAACAACCAGCAGGACGAGACGTTACACAAAAATGTTTCACATTCCTGAGGATGTGAAAGGAAATATTTTTCTCTTACCAAACCAGGATGTGGGATGAGATACTAATTTACCCATAAATGCTGAATATATCAAACTATGTATGCTGAAACCCTATAAATGGAATTTGTCTGAGACCATAATACAGATGCATTTTTTTTTGGATAAAGAAACAAACAAGTTAAACCCACAAAATGCCAAAACCACAACTCTGTCTGCCTAACTAGAATGGCATCTTCCATTAGCCCTCTTTCCTTAGGAAAAGACATTATTTTAAGAAAATATCTATTTCATTTAATTCCATCTTCCTCTTGCCAAACTTCATTTAAGGCCTTTTAAAAGCAGTTACATCTCATGCCTTTTGGTTAGGACATTGGAGCCTGCTCTACTTTTTACTCAATCAAAATTGAGGTACTGTGCTTTTCCAGGAATTTACATCTGGGGGTATTAAAATCATAGCAGAAGAGAGTGGGGTTAAAGCCACATCCAGATTTTATGGGAGGATGAGGAAGTCTGCAGGTGAATGCTGATTAAACTCTCCAGCAAAGACTAAACTCTTCCTTGAACATGAGAAGTGTCGATCCACGGGATGACTTGGGAAACCAACCAGTCCAATTTGCCACAAGAAGATCCTGGGAGTGGCTCCCGAGCAGTGATGAGCAGTTTGTGGAATGAAGGAGGACTGGAAGACTCTGGGAGAAAGGGAAGTGTCTTCATACAAAGCTGGAGGCCTGGCTGAGGAAAGAGAGAGCCACAAATCATATCCAAGGAGAGGGGGCTTAAAAGACTCCTGAGATATCCTATGACTGAAAAATAGGGAGATAGGGAAAGCAGAGATGTTGATAAACTGGAGGGGGTTCAGTCCCCAGCAACAGAGGTGGTCAAGGATGAGAGACGTCCTTGAGGACGGGCAGAGGGAACTGTTCAGCCTCTGGCAGGCTTAGAGGGCACCTCACAGCAGCCCTCCAAGACTTGATAGGAGGTTGTCATGAAAACAGAACCAGGCTCTTCACAGTGCTGCAATGGTGGGCAAGGGACAAACTGAGACGTGGAAGGTCCTAACTGAACAGATGGAAACCCTTTCTCATGTCCAGGCCAGCCAAGCACGGGTTACTCAGAGAGGCTCTTCAGTCTCCATCCTCGGAGGTTTTGCAAGGTGAGACCAGATAAAAGCCCTGAGCAACCTGATCTGACCTCAAGAGCTGCCCTTGCCCTGAGCCGGGAGGCTGCACCAGGGATAATTCCAGGTCTCCTCCCGTGGCCCGCCGATCACAGATCACTGATGCTCGTGGCCTTTCGCCAGCCCGACGTGCGCGAAGCGTCTCGCTCTTCCAAAATCCAGAAAGCCGTGCCAAGGGCGGGCAGAGAGCGCGTTGTAGCGGGAAGCTCCAGCAGCGCCCAGCCCTGCCCGCCGCCTCCCCGGAGCACAGCCCGGGGGTCGGAGCGCTCCCCGAGGCTCGGGGCCAGACACAGCCCAAGGATCAGCTCCAGGCTCAGCCCCTCGCCGCCTCCTCATCCCCAAACTTCGGGCGGCAGGCTGCGCGCTCCCGCTCCGCCCGCGGGGGGAAAACGCGCTCCCGCTCCCTCCGTGCAGCGGGGCCAGGGGGCGGGCGGCTGCCTCCCTCCCTCCTGCCTCCCTCCCTCCCTCCTGCCTCCCTCCTCCTCCTCCTCCTCCTCCTCCTCGCCAGGCTCCCGCATTGCACCGCCGCGCCGAGCCGAGCGCGGGGCTGGGGCTGGGGCTGCCCCGGCGGCCCCGGCTGGCGGGATGAGCGCGGGCGAGGCCAAGGAGTACCTGGCCCGCAGGGAGATCCCGCAGCTTTTCGAGGTAGGCGAGGCGCGGGGAGGGGGACGGGGGGGGGGGGATGTGGCGGCGTTTTCCGCCCCGTCGGGGGGTTGCTCCGCGCCGGGCGGGCAGGGCTGGGGATGCTGAAGGTGGCTGGAAGGACGGGGCGGTCGCGCTTGCCCCGGCACGGGTGGGCTCTGCCCGCCGCCCACCCGCGGAGCCCCCGCGGCCGCGCCCCTCCGGCCGCCGGGCTGCGGCACCACTCGCGTGTCCGTGGGGGCAAATGCGGGCGGGGGGCATCGCCCTGCGGTCTGAGGGGGGATGGAAGGGAAAAAAAAAAAAAGGCACGAGTGTTCAGCGAGGTTTCGTTTAGCTTCCCGCAAGTTACCTGCTGCTGATGGCTGGGGATTACTTGGCTGTGCGGCGTGGATTTTTTTTTTTTTTTTTTTTTTTGGTCTCTGAATCAGACATCCTGTAAATCTATATAAAAGGCACGCAAACACATACGCGTTTTTACCCTTGACTGGGCTGAGGAGAGGCGTTTTTCTGTGCGTTTGGAAATCACGGGACGCAGAGCCACGCTAATGTTTTAATAACACAGCCGGAGTGTGAATGGTTTAACGAGAGATGCAGACAGAGCTGGTTTTCTGGGGAGGCTCCGAGCTTGAGCTAGAGATTTTTAAAAATTGGTGCCTGTCTTCTGCACAAATCCATGGCTAGCTGCTGTGATCAGTTCAGCAGTATCGTAAGGGCACGGATGCAGAGAAATGATATCCTATTTTATAAGTCCAAACGTGTGTAAATAACAGTCGCTGTATAAACTGTAAATAACAACTGAGCAAGTCCTGAATCGGAGCTGTTTGTGTTTACTACTAATACCAGCTCTAACCGTCAAGTTTATTCACACAAAGATTAGGAAGAGCACAAAGGAAGGGGAATCACCCCGAAAGGCATTTATTGCTCAGGGAGGGCTGGTTGCAGCGCTCTTGTGGAGAGGTGAGATGATGACTTATGTGTCACTTTGTCAGGGAAAATCGATTCCCATGCGTCGGAGGAGGGCCTGGCAGTGCTTCCTCCACGCTCCCCTCGGCGCTCGTGGCTACGGTGGATGCAGAATTAATTCTCTGGAGAGGGCTTCGAATTCCTGATCAATGAAATCAGGAACCACCTATGAATTTCGGGGGGGTGGGTTTGGGGTTTTCTTTTCCTGATCGAGATGATATTTGAGTATTTCTCGTGATTTTTAACCCCCCTTTTTTTTCATCGCCTGTGTGTTGACAAGAATATGAATGAGGTACTTGTGAGTGCCCTGGCCTTGAAGGAAAAGATGCATTTTAGTGAGGTCAAAGACTACAAAGAATATGTAACTTTTGGGGCTCTCTAGCTTGGGTTGCTCTGCCTGTCCTTGGCAGTGGTTGTTCTGAGAAAAATACAGAGGGTTTTTTGCTAGGTTCAGGTTTCATCACAGTGCAGACAGACAAATGCAAAGACACAGCCACGAGCTTCCCGTTCTGAGTCATTTTTACGACACTGGCAAACCGAAATGGGACGATTTTTGCAGGCCTTGGTTTTTATGTGTTGGCTTGAAAAGGAGAATCCGAATGTACAAGGAATGTGGGACTGCTCTGTGGAAAGGAAGAGGCGAAGTAAAGGTGCTTGGTTTTTTTTTCCTGGCGTCTCCCATGGTAAGTGTGTGTTTCTGATCTTACGTTTCAGAGCCTGTTGAATGGATTAATGTGCTACAAGCCCGATGACCCCGTTGAATATTTGGAAAGCTGTTTGCAGAAAGTGAAAGAGCTTGGAGGGCCAGAAAAAGTGAAATGGGACACTTTTGTCAGCCCAGAAAAGAAGACTTTGCCTCCCCTCAATGGAGGACAACCCAGGAGGTCTTTCCTCAGGAATGGTAATGTATTAAATGTAAAAATACATCTCTCGTACGGTGTGTGGTTTTCCATCCACTGCTGAATTATTTTGTAGCAGATTGCGCCTCATTCTGATTTTCCACAGGCAAAGGAGTCAAGAATTCTGTTTCCTTGCGTTCTGGCATTTGTTTTTCTCCTTCCACAGCGGATGCTGGGCAGGAGAGGAAATTGTGATCACTCTGCAGCCAAATGATGGATGTTTGCTGTGTAAACCTTTAGTGGAGAGATTTCTCATAACCTGCTTCAAACATTTGCAAAGATAGAGGCAGATTGGATCAGTGCACTTGGCTTGTATTTTTATTTGGTTCTTGTGGATGACAAACATACCAACTTCAGTGGTTTTCCTGGTTCATGTTGGAGCTACCCGCTAATTTCCTAAATACCACGCAAATCATAAACCCTTAGGAAAAGGTGCATCTCAGAAAATCCGAGCAGATGCCATACCGATACCTGTAATTATTTTATTTGTAACGTTAACAAAGAGCAATTAGCTCATCTGTCAGTTGCCATAGTTATTCCTCCTTGCCACGCAGCGTTTCATTTCACTAATTAGCAGGAACGCTGTGCCTGTGTACAGCGAGTGTGTCACCAAAAGGGTCCTGCTTGGCAGTGCAGCTCATCTGCACCGTGCAGAGCTTTGCTGTTCAGGGGCCTCTGCCCAACTCTGGGGGCTGCAGGCAGATGTTCACACAGCACCTGATGCGCTCCTGAAGGTGAAAACGACTCTTGAGTGGTTGCAATTCAATCAGTCAGCTAAACAGAGGCGGGGAATGTTTGATACAGCAACAGCAGCCGCAGGGGGAAATTATGCGATATTTATGGTCATTTAAATCTGTGTACACAGATGAGCAGAGTTAGAGTTCGCTGCCTGTTCTGCAGTTTCCAGTGTCTCTCACTGTTTTGCAGTGCTGCCTGACAATCCCAACTTCCCGTACCGGCGCTATGACAGGCTGCCCCCCATCCAGCAATTCTCCATCGAGAGCGACACCGACCTGTCCGAGACCGCCGAGCTGATCGAGGAGTACGACGTGTTCGACCCCGCCAGACCTCGCCCCAAGATCATCCTTGTCATAGGTAGGAAAGGGGGTGGGTTTACACACTTTTATCTCTGTTGGTTTGTGCTGCAAATGCACTGATTGCCTACGTGAATTTAAACACGATTTTTTTGGTCTGCCCGGTTAGGAGCGGGAAATTGTTGATGCTGAGGTAATGGCATCCCAACTGCAGGCGTTAGTTAGTTGTGCTTTCTCCCCAGGTCCTCTCTTGGGAGCTGTTTAGTGGCCTTTCTAAGCAACTTGTACTTTCCAGCCTTTAATAATTTATTACTAAAAAACACCTGCAGTTTAAGCCTAAATCAGTGGTTTATTCTGGGTTTGTACTGAATTTCTTTGAACTGGTTTCTTTGTCACGTGGGGAAAGTTGCCTTCAGAAATTTTACTGCCAGGCCTAATTCTGTGAATGGTTTAAAGAGCTCCAGCACAGGTGCCAGGTGATGGGCAGTTCCATTTTTTAGCCTGTAAAGCTTTATTGGTATTAAAGAGAGATAATGCTTTCAGAACAGAGAGCAGTGGTGTAGGAAAAGGGAGTAGAGGTGTCTTCTCTGTGCCACGGAGTGGACTCTCGAAGAACCCTGTGCAGCCAGCAGTTCTCTGCAATGAGCTACTGGAATATCTTTAAAAAACCAGAAAACCTGGCATTTTTGTAGGTATTCGTGGGAGGCCAAAGGAATCGCTTGGGGCATTTGAATTTTCTTAGTCTCTCGCCTCAGAATTACAGATCTCAACGTGCAAATCTCTCCACGCCCCGCTGAGCCACAAAGGTTGCAATTAGGTGGAGAAACAAGCCCTGCCTTTCTTTCATCCCAATTAATTGGCTTTTTTGTACAGCATCAAGAAGATTTCTCCTCCCAAATTCAACCTGCCATCGAGAAAGCACATGGGATGAATGAAAGAATAATTCATATACCAAATAAAAGAGGAAAAAAGAAAAACAGTGTACTATTAATTTCAAGAGGCAAGGACTGCACACGCAAAACGTGTTGCACATTTTCCATTTTGGGTAAAATGGCAACAAGAAATTCAGTTAAGCAACACAGTTATGTCAATTAAGTGATAACAAACCATCCTGCCTAGCTCAGGTTGTGGTGCCACTCACTGTTAGGGACTGAAATGAAGTTAAAGACCTGTCCTCTGCTTCACATAATAGATGAACTTTTCTTTATTGGTGCTTTAGCCCAGGATCTTTTTAGTGCTTCCAGAAAGGTTTTTACAACATCTTTGCTTTATGAAATCTGTTATCCTCTTTGTTAAAAACCTGCACTCTAAAAGAATACACTTTCCTTTGGTGAGCAAAGCTTAAAAGGCTGGATCAAAGGCAGTGCTGCCAGCAAGCAGCTGCTTCTTGGTCTGTTAAATACAGATTTTAAAGGCAAAAGTGTTTACAGAAATCTTATTGTAAGATGAATTCACTCTGAATTTACAACAAAATTGAAATTTTGAACTGCTGGTGACAAAACTAGATTAAAACAGCTGCTTCAGTAAAACTTTTTGGGCACACAGATCTTCACTGGAGACCCGTTAGCAAAGAGAATTTTAGATGCAACAGGTGTTCCCTGGCCTAGACATCTTCTAGAAATATGTAAAATAATCCCACTTTTCTTGAACACTGCATAATCTCAGAATAAGTGAAAAGAACAAAAACCAAAAGTGATTTGGTTCTCCTTTCTTATGACACAGTTTGTCAGTGTGATTTATCAAAGGATCAGGAATGGATACACAGTTCAGTAAATTACAATGATTTCCTGCAGGAAGTAATTTTGTCCCATCCCTTTTCCCTTATTTTATTATTATATTTCCCTTATTTTTATTATTCTATTACCTGCATGTTTCCCCTCAGAATGTAAATGGATGTTGTAAAGGGATAGATTTGGCCTGAGAAAAACAAACTGGGGGGGAAAGTTTATGAACATTAAAGCAAACACTTCATTAGTTACTTTCTGATTATTCAATTCCAATTGGAAGAACAGAAGTGCCAAAGTGTGTTTTGGGGGTTTTTTCTGCTTCTCTTTAATGGCAAAGCAAAGCTCTCCCTGACTGGAGTGTGAAGTCCATCTGCTTGTTTCAAGCAGGTTTTTTTTCAGCTCTTTTATGCTTTTACTTTCATTGTGTTGCCCTGTTTTTTTCAAGTTCATAGGAAATACATCTTTTTAATCTTAATTCTTTGTCTGTTGAAATAAAATTCAGTGTTCTCACAGAGAATTCCCCAGACTAGAGCTACTCAGTGCTGGGAACCATTACCAAAAGGTTGGGTTTGGGTGTGCTTTGCTGTCCAGTAGCACACACTTTTCTCTATATAAGCAGTTATTTTTGTTCCCTGGTTTTACATACTGGATTCCAGGTTCTCTGTTCGTCACATCGTGACATTTCCTCGTAGTTCTGATTGTTTTAGAGGCATTCTTGCTTCTGCTGTCCAGCTGAGCTTCACTTCAGCTTTTCCTCCAGTGGGATGGAGCTGTTTCCTGGGACTCTGATACCTATTGGACCTCTTGAAGGGTCTCCTCAGGTTGTCCAGCAAGCTGAACCTCACAGACTGCTCCTCTGGGAGATGCTTCAAGCATCAACACCAGGAGTATGAAGGGTTCAATAAAAGTCCTTGTACCGAATCACTATGGAAACATCTCGGCTGATTATTTAATATTTTTCTGTATTGTAAAATTAGGAGACCTCAGAAAGTCATGCAAGCACGTTTAGGAGCAGATGTTATTAGTTTCACTTCATGACTAGTCCAGTGGTTTAACTGGGTTATTGAGCTAAGTATGATTCTTTCTGACATGAGTGCAGTTCAGACTATCTGGCCCTGTCTTTGGATTCATGGAGTTCAAGAAGGGAAAAGTTCATTTTCTGTTCCTCTACTACAGAAAGAGAAAAACTTTATAAAATGAGGTCCAGCCTAAAAGAGTCCATTTGTTTTAATTTTGCCACTAGCTTTGTATTATTTTTTTTTTTTTTTTTAAGTTCCTAGTCCAAACCGTTACCTTTGTGATCTGGTAGATGAGAGGCAAGATTGACTCTAATAATGGCTGGAGTTATGGGTGGTCATAGCAAAGATTCCAGGTGTGATTGGGCTCTTCAGGTGAAAGGTTGATTTAATGCCTGGCTTCCCGTTGACAACAGGTGGCCCAGGGAGCGGCAAAGGCACGCAGAGTTTGAAAATAGCCGAGCGTTACGGGTTCAGCTACATCTCGGTGGGGGAACTGCTGAGGAAGAAGATCCACAGCACCAGCAGCAACAGAAAGTGGAGCCTCATCGCCAAAATCATTACCACGGGAGAGCTGGCCCCTCAGGTATCCTGTATGCAGTATCTACGTGCTGCATTAACGTGCATCAGCAAGAAAATTTCCTTTACAATATCAAATAACCAACTTCTTTTCTCTCCGTGCAAGGAAACCACCATCACTGAGATAAAGCAGAGGTTAATGCAGATCCCTGATGAAGAGGGGATAGTGATCGATGGATTTCCCAGAGATGTTGCCCAGGCAATCTCCTTTGAGGACCAAGTAAGAAATCGGTTTTTTTTATTCTTGAAATATCCTTAAAATCATTTCAGGTATCTCTACACCGGTTAAGCTTGTGGAAATCATCAGTCAGGTTCCAAGAAAGAGCACTGCTCTTTAAGTCTCTGCAAGCACATAATTACAGGTTGACAGAAGGTTGTTCTTTTGCTTTATGTTATGTTCTGTCCTGTCTGAAGGCAGACTATTCTGCAAAAAGGAAATGGGACAATATAACCAGTAATCCAAGGCTACTGTCTCACTAATGAGAATCCTTGCAAGATGGAGAAGAAAACATGAAATCCAGCGGGGAATTTTGTTTTGTATCTTAGTGATTTAGAAAAGGGGAAACCATAATTCCGTATCTATTTGTTCTGCTTAATCTAAATTAAGAGAAGCAGGCTTAAAGCAGTACACGCCTTCACAATGCTTTTAATCTCAGGTTTATTGCAGCGCACTGAAAAGTCGAATAAAATACGAGTCAAAACTGCTCATCTCCTGCAAGTTTTCGTAAACCAGAAATTACGCTCTTTCTTTAGAAAATTGCCTCATTTTGTTTGTTCTGCACTACAGTTCTAAGGTTTAGTCAGCTGAAACTGCTTCCTTGAGTGTATTCACGTGCTGCTTCCATGGGCATATTTTAAACCAAGCTAAAAATACCTATGCTGAGTGGAAAAACAAACAAGTTTCTATCGTTTTCTTACGAGGCACTGCTCGCAGAACAGTTATGGCCACAAGCAAAGGTTGCAGTTTCAGAGCTGAACTCTTTGAGTGCCTCCACGCAGAGCATTCCAGAGCCCTTCGCAGTTGCTGGTGCTGGGCTCGGAGCTCTGAGCGGCACTGCCAAGGCAGGAGCAATGAGACAAAGCAGCTAATGAGGCATTTCATTAGTGGGCTTTTACAAGGTATTATTCTGGGCAAAATTTAGAAGGCTGAATTGAGGAAATTAAAGGGAACAGGCAAAATAGTTATTACAGGAAATAGCGATGGCTGCCAGCGCTATCTCCTCACGATTAACCAGAAGAGGAGACTGTTTTATAAGGGAAGCAGCAGAAATGATGGCTTAACAATCATTTCCTTCTGCCATTTTAATTTGTCCAGTATAAGATGTGACAGTGGGAGTCCTGTGCATTTCTTGGGGCTGTAGTTTTGTGCTGATGTTGTCTTTTGATGGAAGAAAGGGGGACACGAAACCCGAAGTGGTGACAGGAACTGAGTGCTTTGAGTCGTCCCAGGTTCAGCTTCTCTTTCTGCGGAGGGAAAGCAGATAAAAACACTTGGGCTGTATTCTCAGAGAGTTCCTTCCTTTCCAGTCAGTTGGGATTGGCTGAATCCTGCTCCTCAAGGCCTGATTGTGCCTGAAAGATGGATCAATCCCTAAGTCTCGAAAAAAATCCAGGAGCGCTTCATGCATCAGTGTTTTATCTTGCATTTATAGTCTAAAGACATAAAATATGCTCGTTGTTTCTTTACAACTCTTTGTTTAGTAAGCTATAATGCTGCACACATAAAGAAGGAAGGCCTTGTGGGAAGGAAATGGGGACTATCAGCAGCAGTGCTGCTCATTTTCCCTCCCAGGCTGAGGCTGAGGGTGACCCACGGCACGTCAGGTTGTTCACATTAAACACGCTGACACTTCCCAGGCACTCAGAGAGTCCTCGATGGGAAGTGCAATCGAGTTGTGGAGAATTCAGTAATTAGCTGGGGTGATAATTTGTGTAGGTCTGCAATTAGAGATGCTGGGGGGGGGGTTTCTTTCCAGCAGTGTGGAGAAGCACAGAACAGAATTGCTCTCATTAGCCACAAGATGAGAAATAGCTGAAATCTCAGCTAAGTTTTGGTGATTAAGCAGCAAGACAATTTTAATTAGGAGCATCCTTTGAAGAGGAGGGTGAAATCCCACAAGTGGTCAATCATACATGGGCCTTGTTCTCACAGAGACATCCCCTGTGGAACCCTGAGACCTGTCAATGAAGAGTTCTGAGTAAGAACAGACTGATTGTTGTCACTGGTTTTGTCCTGGGTGAATGCTCAAAGGTGGTCCCTTTGAGACCAGTGCAACGCTCAAGTACCTGAAAACAGCAGAAAAGTTTGTGTGACACATGAAGATCCTTTGCCACTGTTTACACAAACACAATCTCCAAGAGGATGTGTAGTAAGACCAAAAATAAACTGGGGGGGTGGGAGGGAATGTGAGGAGCAAGTTATTAAAGTGAGTGGAAATGGAGAGGAGCAGCACAGGATACTGAGAGAGCAGGTAAGGCTGGAACAAATGGGAGGAAAATGGGAAGAATATAAACAAAACAAGCTACAAACACCTGACATAGTTCAAGAAATGTCTGGTGGTTACTGGTCCTAAGAAGTCTACATTGTTTTATTACACATATGTCGTTCCTGTGTGAGAAACTATCGGGACCCAATTTATCATAAAGAGACACAACACAACAATCTGTTACAGAAACACATGGTGATAACGACTGCTTGGTAAACTTCACCGGTAATTGCTCTTGCTGCTACCAGAACATTTTTATCCCTTCGACTCATCCAGAAGCTGAACATCTCTCTGGGAAAAAAAAAAATGTTATTTTTAGTAAAGGAGTCAAAGCAAAACAAACGATGCAAACATTCCCATGCATAAGGTACAGCTGGAAGATGATGATTTTCTTCCTTATTGTGTTGGCAGACTGCGGTGTGGACAGTGAGTCCTCAGCACGTTGCTAGGCAGGATTGTATCAAACCACGTTGCATCTGGGTGACTGAAGTGCTCAAGATAAAGCAATGTATCATCTGCAGCACTCCCAGCATTTCTCTGCTCGCATCTACGAACCAGGAGTCGCAAACGCTGCTCCCCAGCCCTGCTGTCAGTCTGGGACAAGTGAATCAGAGAGCACTTTACACATCTCAGGGATCTGACATTGAATTTCTGCTTTTTTAAGGAGTTTTATCGGTGTCACTGTTCCTGTCATCCCTGTTTTCTGAGCAGGAAAGGAAGTCTGTAAGCTTGGCATCAGGGATGTTTGCAGATTTTTCAGAGTGCTCAGCCTGGGAGAGCTCCACTTCAGTTCTCTTGGAAATTTTTTAGCCAAGGTGAAACCAGGCCTGTATTTTTCCCTTTGAAAACAGAGTTTTAATGAGTAAATTCTCTCATTGGAAGTCTTAGGCTGTTGCCTTTCCCTCTCATTTCTCAGTTCCAGGGAGCAGAGTCAAGGCTGCCAATGCTTTTGATGGGTGTGCTTTTAATAAAGCCCTGAAGTTCCAAGTTGTGGGGGGGAAAGAAAAAAAAAAAAAAGGAAACATGAATTTTAATGGCTTAAAATCAAATAGGACTTGCAGTCGATGTATCTCTCTGAAATACAGGATATTTTCTGCATTTTGATCATTTTGAAATCCTTCTGCATAGCAGGGCAGGTTTAATACTGATGCATTTGAGATTTTGAATGCTGATGTAACATGAAATATTCACTTTGATCCTAAATCACAAACTTTCTAAGCTCTCCATGACCTCTGCCGAGTGCAAATAGTAGAAAGGTGTTCAGATTTCAAGGACAATGCCAAGGAGAAGATGGTTTATTTACCATTAACCCATCAGTTTGATATTCAGCGAGTCAGCTGCAGGCCCTGCATGCTGAAGCAGTCTGAACATCCTCCTCTCCAGTGCCACTGCACTGAAATGCCTCTGACTGGTGTATTGATCTCAACTGACTTGGGAACAAGCTGCACAGGTGTAGTTTGCTTAAAATGCAGCTCTCACAACACCCACTGTCACTGGCCAGGAGGGAGGACTCCACAACAGCTGGGCGAGTCAGTGCAGCCTCGTGGGGAATCTTGAAGGGGAAAGGATCTGCGTCTTCATTCCATCTCCTCAACTTCCTTCTCCTAAATCTCCACGCACTGATCCAGGGACTGATGCCCTGCTGAATGAGTACCTGGTGGTCAGTGTGAGGAGTGGGAGTGCTGCCACATCATCAGCGCTCTGCTTTGCTGTCTTTGACCCCTGTGGGTTTTGCTTTCCTGAAGCCAAGCCTGACCAGGAAGCCCGTGGAATGTTCTTGTCATCATCTGCCTTCTCCCCCTGGAAGCTGGAGCAATCTCCAGAGAAAGACAGGTGGTGGTTCCATTCTCTGCTTGGGTGAGAGGCCCTGGAGCTCAGGTTTGCTGTTTGTTTTCCTGGAGCTCAGGTTTGCTGTTTTCCTGGAGCTCAGGTTTGCTGTTTGTTTTCCTGGAGCTCAGGTTTGCTGTTTTCCTGGAGCTCAGGTTTGCTGTTTGTTTTCCTGGAGCTCAGGTTTGCTGTTTGTGTTCCTGGAGCTCAGGTTTGCTGTTTTCCTGGAGCTCAGGTTTGCTGTTTTCCTGGAGCAGGGCTCTTCTCTGCCAGGCAGACTGGCTGAAGGAGAACTCATCATCATCCTCTGCTGCTCCTCAGGAGAGGACCAGGTGTTGTGACCTGAGAGCAGATGGAGGTTTCTGATGAGTGGTTCTGGAGCTGAGGTCTGCTCAGCCCTTTCTTTGCCTCGTTAGCATTCAATTTACAGACAGGGGTTTTTATCAGTTTGCTGGAAATCTGAATCAGTTCTCCCTGAACACACCAGTCTCTCTCAATCACCAGGAGGGCTAATTACGTGCTCTGGGCAATTTGCTGGGAAGTTGTTTCTTGGGCACTGTGAGTGTGGTTGAGAAGCAGTTACCAGAAAAACATTCTACCTACAGGATTCATTCTTTGACAACGAGATTCGTGATTTTGCTTTCTTAAAACGAGAAAAAAAAACTATGCAGGCAGTCCAGTAAGCCACCAGAGATGGAACTGTGAAAAAGAAATCAGTAATTACAAGGGACAGCACACATACCATGGACATGAACTTGCTTGCCAGTAACCTTTACCAGTAAGAATGAAATGCCCTGTTAAATTACTGGCAATTGGTCATGAGCTATCAGCTTGCTCAGGAGTATCTGCTAGAACATACCAGGAATTAAGGAACACGGCATTTTCCTCTCTTGCCTAATGAGGACTAATGAGAGAGAGTGTAATCATCTTATTTCTAGCAAACAAGCACGCTACTCTCACTAACAAGAGGAGATGTAGAAAAGATCCCCAGAGAAAAGAGAGCATCTCTCCACTTACACTGTTTAATGTCAACAACACCATCACCTTGCATAGAACGATTCTCAATTTACTCCTGGTTCCAGTTCAGGCAGGAGATTCAGACCCAAAGAGAGCAGGATTTACCTCCTAGTAATCTACTCTTGTAAAAAATGAGAGGATGTACCCACATCCTCCGTTTTTCATTCTGAGTTGGTGCCATATGCTCTTCAATATCCAATAACCAGCCTACCTCTTCAGGCCTTTCTGGACATGACTAAAAGCATCAGCTGGGGGAATCAGCAGGAAGGAATCCAATCCTCCCGGCTGTGATGCTTCTCTGCACCTTTCCTACAAGCCGTGGCTGGGAATAAAACTCATTCCCCGGCCATGAAACTCAACAACACTTCGTTCCGAGTTTGAAAAAGAAGTTTCTTTTTCGAATGAGTCGCAGAGAAGGTTTTTCTTTGTTGGAAAAAAAAGCAATTTGTATTCGCATTTCCTTAGGAGAATTAGGGGTGTTTCTAGAGGAGGAATCCCAGCTGTCCATAAATTCACCCTGGCCCGTTGTGTTCCGGCTCAGAGTGTTTCTGAGCAGGTCTTGCCGAGGTAAATGAAAGCAGAAAACCAGGAGTGGAACATCAGTAGCATTTCAAGGTTGCATCCTGGAGGATGGCAATGCACGTAGGAGGAATAAATTAAGTGCTCGTAGGCCCGTTTGCCCGAGGATGGAGGAGAGATGTTACCCTTTTTTTTTTTTTTGTGCATCTTGTGTTTATTACGTGGTTTTTCAGCCACTTTCTGGTGATAAAGGTGCGTGTTCTGCAGGTCAGAGATGAATTCATGGGCACACCACAGAATCAGAATCTGCTTTGTGTTCCTACCTCAAATGTGCTTGAATTACTTTTTTTTTTTTTTTACTTCATTTGAAGCCAGGCTTCTCGAAGTGAGAGTTTTAAAACGTTGTTTTCCTTGACATTTTGTTTCTGTGAGTGAAATGTATTTTGAATTACTCAGAGTGTCAGGATAAAAAGTAGTCTTAATTCCTGGGATTCTGAGGGTGTCCTTTTGCTGTTGTTGCTGTTACTTGTAAAAAACTTGTAAAAACCAACAGCAACAGTACTCGGGTTCTGTCCTGAAAGAGAACTTTCCATTTTTAAAAGCAAAAGGAAATAATTAAACCTAACTAATTAATTATTTGTCCAGGTTGTATCTCGTCATTACCCTCATTTTACAGTTAGGGGGGAAAAAAGGAAATTAAGGCCAGGGAATCCTTTCCATTTTCTTAAACGTGAAGTGACTTGTGCAGTTTCCATCACCTAACAGGCTTTGGAATCTGCAGTGTTTTCTTTCAGAAAGTAACTTTCAGAGTCTTTCATGTGAATAATTATGTGCCTTAAAGCTGCTGTGTGGTAGTAGAATTAACTGTCATAATTAATTCATGCATGGAAGGGCAGAGTAACTCTGTCAGTTCTGTATTTACAGCAAAGGGAAGGAGAAGTTACTCTGGGTTTGTTGACACAGAGGTAGGAGAGGGCTTCTCTCCCACTGCACTTATTTCAAAATAATAGGTTCTAAGGTTAATTGTTCCAAAATCTAATAATTACTCAGAAATAATTACCAGAGCTAGCCTTTCTGTGGTTTGTGTGCTCGTGCCTCCAATCATCTGCAATGTGTGTAAAAAATAATTCGATTTTCTTTAAAATCCTCTTTCATTTTCTGCAGTGATGAAGAGGCCACCGTCCTCTTGTGGCTGGTGCTGCTCTCAGGCTGCCCTTCACTGGTTGAAAAAGGCTTCGCTTTTTTCCCCCACTTTCTGCTTCCTCCCTGCTCTGGTGGTGACCTCATTGGTGAAGGCTGATGAGCATCACCCCGGGGCTGCAAAAAGTCGTTTTTGTTTCTTTTGGCTTCCTTAAGGACCTTTTTCTGCTCAGACTGACAGTAAAAAAAGGCCAGACCGTGCTTAAAGTTGTATTTCCTCAAATGACAGAAACCCAGCTAGCTGGGATTTTTGATTTTTTATTTTTTAAAAAAAAAAAAACTTGGCTATTAATTTTCCAGGTTGTCCAACTGGGAAGTTTTGACTACTCAGACCAGGAATATGGTTGTCTTTGTGCAATTTAACATCCTTGGGTAGAAGGAGTTGGATATAAAGAGTTTTATAATAAAGAGTTTATATAAATCAGCTAAGGGGAACCCTCTGGTCATGCATATGATGAGCACAGTCTAGGGAAGGTTTTTGGTGGGAGGTAAAATCTTTTTCATTGAATATTTTTTCATTAGCGTTTCAGGTGAAGCAGATCCATCAACCCCCACATCAGATCAACAAAACCCCTCCTTTAAACCTGCAGATTTCCCTTCCAAAATACAATGGGTGTAGCAGTGACGGACAGCCAGCCTAATGATGAGACTTGTGAATTGCTCCTTCCCCAGATCTGCAGCCCGGATTTGGTGGTGTTCCTGGCCTGTTCCAGTCAGAGGCTGAAGGAGAGGTTGCTGAGGCGGGCGGAGCAGCAGGGCAGACCCGATGACAACCTGAAAGCCACCCAGAGGAGGCTGATGAATTTCAAGCAGAATGCTGTCCCCCTGGTGAAATACTTCCAGGAGAAAGGGCTCATCATCACGGTAAGTCCCTCAGAATATACCTGGGAAAAACCTTGGCTGTTGTTTTGGGATGAATTCCGGTTTTAAGGATGAGAGGACTGCAGTTCTTGGAAGTTTTTATTCATTGTGGGTGTTTTGTGACTCCTGTGGAAAGCACACTTAGCTCTTCAGGAAGAAGATGGGAGCAGTGTGAGGGCTAGGCCAGCATCAAATAGAATTACAGCAGCCTCATTCCTAGAGGAGTAAATCTTTGAGGCAAGGTCAGCATTGCCCAGGAGGGAACGAAAATATTTACATTTTTCTTCAGTCTTCACCTGCCCCTTGTCACTGCTGTTCCCATTCTGCTCAGGGGCAAGAGGCAGGACAGCTTGTCTGATGGAATGTTATAATTTTAGGATCACAACTCAGATTTTTATACGTGTTGTTCTTCATCGATAAACAGAGCAAAAGAGAAAATAAAAATTCACTGAACTATATAAATATGATTAATAAATATAATTGTAATCTACTGTTAGACACTGTGTGAGCTGTGTTACTGTAGTAATGCAGGTTTGGACAGGGATTGTGTAAATTGGTGAAATGGCATTTATTGTCTCAGTAACTTTGAACAAATATTAAAACATTATATCTCGTTTACCTAGACAATAACTAACACACTAGTTACCTGCAGGGGGAGGAGACGTTAACTGGATGAAATTATAAAAGGGAGAGCATGTAAGTGAATTTAAGGGGGAAAAAAAAAAAAGGCCTGGCTTTCTTAAGCTAAAAATCCTAAAAGAAGGCCCTGGTCCTTATTCCAACAGCATCGTGTGGCACACATGAAATGCAGATTTCTCTGATTACCTTCCTCATCCCACTTGTCCTTTTAGGGAATTTACCATGCCTATGAAAACATTCAAATGACGTTCAGATTAGTCAGAGGGGTAGAGGGAACCCAGAAAAAGCAGCTGAAGCTGGCAAGGGGTTTGGAGCCCAGATTTAGAAGTGAAACAGTTGCGGGTGAGGGAAGGAGCTGTCTGCCCTCATCAGCATCAAACGAACCTAATGGCTGTCAACTGTCACAGGAGAATCCCCCACGGAGCTGTGTTACATAAATTTTCCTCTTGTTTTGGTTAAAAAAAAAAAGGAGTTTTGCTGTAGAACTCGCACGTCAACACGAGCTTTATCCGAAGGCTGTGACTTGGCAAAACGCTGATGAAAATATCAGTTATAATCTGTCTCCAAAGTTGCTGTGGCGTCACAAAGCTGCCCAGCTGGAGCTGTTGGTTTGGGCTTTTTCTCTGTTTGTTTGGGGGTGCTGATTCCAAAGGATTTGCTCTTGGTCTTGCCCTTAACTTGGGGCCTGTCCCTAGAGAAATGTTATGTGCTTATATAAAGATTAAAAAATCTTCTGTACGGGGGAAATGAGAGGAGGGATGGGATCCTTTTTGCTAATTCCAGGGGAGTTGAAGCCTGGGACAAATAAGCAGATCTCTGCAGTCACAGGAAGCTGGTATTGAAAAAAATGAGGGCTCTCTGTGTCTGTCCTATATTTGACAGCTCTTTTGCAAACTGGGCTGTGAGAAAGGGCCTGGAAGTGTTTCTTGTAAAAACTGCTGAGCTAGAGAAAGTTTATTCGTGTTCTGATCACTGCCAGGTTTTACACTGTGTGTCCCAACACTGCTTATGTGTTGCTGTTTCGTGAGACATTCTGAAGAAGGTATGGAAATGAGTTTTTGTCTAGAAGTGAATCTGTAAACAAACTGCTTGTAAATATGTGCCCACTGGATATGGGGGAGATAGATGAATAATTTGTGCCTGTGGGAAAGCGCGTGCACCATAAACGAGCTTCAAAACGTTTCCATCCTCCCATTTGATGGTTCCTGTCAAGGAGTGAAGTGCCTCAGGAATACCAGCTGCGTGCCAGGGAATGACCCAGCGTGGAATTTTGCCATCTGTGCCACGTGCCAGAGGAACCTGGAGGGTGGGAATTCCTTGCTGAGGTGAACGGCATCAGTGCAACACTCTGTTCTTTCCTAACTTTGGAAGCATGGCAACTTAAATAAATGCCTTTTTTTTTTGGAAAGCTGCCTCCTGCACACAGTGGGTGGCTTGAAGGGAGTGGACGAGTTTGAAAAAGGAGGTAAACTCTGGCTCTGGAATTGGCCAGGGATGGATGAAAGGGCCAAGCTGATTCAGGAGCTGTTCTGAATTCTCTTTCTGAAAGCCACTGTTCTGAATTTTACCCCTTTCTGGTGCTGGGAAAGCTGATACGTGTTTTAAAATTAATTAATTAATTTTTTTACACTTCTGAAACTAAAGCTGAGATAAGTAATTAGGCCAAGTTATCATGCACTGTAAGAGATGTTTCAAATAACACGTCCTAAATATTCTTCAAGTTATTTTAAATGGTTCATCTTTAGGTAATTAAGCTGTGTCCTTTGGGTGAAGATTGGCTTCTAATTTCGTTCTTGTGGTTAAAGTGATGCTTAAAGGAGATGAATTTCTCTTATTTAGATGGGATATATTAAGAAACCAGCTTGGAAAAAATACCTCATCTCTGGGAGGGCCTTTTTTTATTAAATATTTGGCACCCATAAGCAACTTTTCCTGTCCTAAACAGCCACTGATTCTGTGAACATCCAGCTGCATTTCAGCCTTGCTTTGCACTAAAGGACAAAATAACACTTTCTTACCCTCAGTTCCATCACTGATTTCCAGCTCTGATGGCCACTGGTGGATCTTCCCCGTGCAGAGTTTAAAGTCAGGGACTTGCTGGTTTTATGGCCAAACCATTTTGCTGCCATTTGGCGGAGAAGATTTGCCTGTCAGCTCCTGCAGGTTGCTACATGGGTGGAATCAGGAGGGTCTTTCAGCTCTCGCAGTATTATAAAAATATTACTCATCTGGTGGGTTGTGCTCCATAATTCCAGTATTTAACATCCTTATTTCCTGAATCTTATCACTTAGCATCGAAGTTGCTATTGTTAGCTATTGGTAACTATTCCTGTTTCCTTATGCAAGTGGCAAGTGGATGTTTTTCCTGCTGGAAATCATTGTCAGCTTCGATTCGAAGGGGCACAACGAGGCTGAGTGACCTGGCCTCTAGTGCTGCCATCCAGTACCAGCCTGCAATTATTTGGGCTCCTGTTCCTTCTTTCCTGTAGATGGACTGCATGAAAGGCAGGGGAGACAGAAGAGGTTGTACTCCCTTATTTTTTTAAAGCATCACGAAGATAAATTTATTCACGTTTGTGAATGCTCAGGTATTGTAACGGTGGAAGCCGCTGAAGTGTCAGAACTGTCAGCAGAAAGTCTGATGCCATGAATATTCTGGACTTGGGGCATTTTCCCCCAGAGCTCTGCGGCCTCATTTAGGGTTGGAGGCAGCTGTGCAGTTCAGCAGTTTGCTTAAGCAGTAAAACAGGAAAAGAAGCCTCACAAGACACAACAGACACTGTGATTTGCTGTGAGGAAAGAACTGTTGTCTCCATTCTCAGCCGTTAATCCCTTTTTATGCCAACACAGTCAGTCACACCAGTGGTGGGAAAAGAAATAAAGGACTTAACGTATAAAATGGGGCATCTTTTCCCTGTGACTCAGTTATTTTTATCCAGGGTGGTTCATGCATGTGATACCCCACGATCCATTTTGTTAAAAATGTACTTGCTAAAATAACGTTGGGTTCAGGCAAACCTTAACTTTTTATTTTTTTTTTCCCTTATGTGCTCAGCTGAATTTCTCCTTCCAGCTTTAACCAGAATGTCAAACTGAAGCTTTCCCGTCCGTGTTTTCAACACCAGCACTTCCAAATTCTCTGCTCTGTCTAGCAAGCCCTGTCTTGTCTCTTCTTGTATTCTGCAATCCACTGTGTTGTGGTAATAATGCAGTTTTTCGGATGTCAGGGTCATCTCCCTCTCCTGCCACACTGCAAGGTGCCAATTAGGCAATGCAAAAATACACTTTTGCCTGGTTTCCCACTGTGTCCTGCCTTGTGGGGCTTTTTGTGGTTGCTCTGCTGAAGAGAACAGGCTTCTCTGCAAATGCAGAGAGAACTTGGAATGTGGGCAATAATACTGTTTTTAGCCAAGTTGAAACCACGGCAGTGTTTCTTGCAGAGAGGACTTTAAAACCTTCAGCTCACACGCTCACCTTAGTGAGAACTGTGGAAATAATTTCTGTGATAGCTCCTTGTTAAGCCTGCCCAACGATTTGTTATAACCCCAACATTTATCGTACTTTTTAAAATACACTCGTTGTATTGTTTAATTCTTCCCTAAAATATGTTTCATTTAACACCCTCTGGGTAGAAATATTGTCAAAAGCTTTTAAAAAGTTAAATAAATTATGTCAATCAGGTCCACTTCATCCACTTCTTTTAATGACAGTTAAAAAACGCTTTCAGCCTCCGTAATCCCGTGGGATTTTGTCCTACATTTGTTTCCAAAAAACCCCCTATTTATCCTGGATCCCAACTGATTTGAATGCACTGCGTAGCTGGGAATTAACATTTATTTTTGCCTTCCAAGGGAAAGAGAAAAAGCTGGGAATTTTCAAACGTTCCAGTCCTTCCAGTGTGAAATTCCGTTCTGAGCAGCCACAAGGGAATTATCCGTGCTGCCGAGCTCTTTGCCAACCAGAAATGTCACATTGTTTCCTGAACTCGGCGTGGATTTTGCATCTGAACCGCCCACAGCAGCTCCTGCTGGAGCCTGTGGTGTTACCCTGTGCTTGTTCTTGCAGCTGAGTCATCAGTTCTCGTGCTTTAAGAACCTGAAATGAGCTGGAATGAGCCGGGCACTTTTCCCGTTGTCCCTCGGAAGATTGGGATGGCACGTGGGAAACTGTGCCCTCTGGAATGGTGGTTACCAAGGCATCTCATGGTAATTAGACAACAGTATTTTAATGTTTTGAAAAACCAACAGGAGAAGTGCCCTCGACCTTCAAAGGGAAATATTTGGCTGCATTTGGCAGCAGCACCAGCGTTTTTCTTTGAAGTGAAGTGCAAACTGGCAGTGGAAGAAAATGGGATTTATAGGAAGAAATGTCTTTTCTTTCTGAGTTCTTCTGAATATATTTTTTTGTTTAGTTTTCCTTATTTGAGGGACTTGCTGTTGCTTTCCTGGACCCTTTTTTGGAAAACAAATATTGCTGTGTATTTATTCAGGGTGCCTGTCTGGGCTGTGGGAGCTGAGGATAGAAAACTGTGTAGTTTTGAACAAAAGAAACAGAGGCACAGGAGCTCCAGGAGCTCTACAGGCACTGTCATCAGCTGAGTCTTCCCATTCTTCTTGCAGAATGGATGTAATACCTGTCAAGGTGCGAGTTTTCAGCCCTTTGTAAAGTGAATATGCCCCCAAAGTTTATTTGGTGTTGGTATTTAGAGCTTGGCTATGTTTAAAGGACCTTCAGCTTTTAAAAGTTTAATAAATTACAAGCCTGGTGGGGGATAATGCCTGTTGGAAGCTGAGAGACCCTTTGAGGAAATGGAGAATGCGATGCAGAAAAATTTGGAAATGAAAGGCATTTGGAGATATGTTTGCTCTCCTTACTGGGAACAGAAAAACAGGGGAAAAAAAATTAATTAATGAGAAATTAATGATGGACCTGGGAGAGCTCTGCAGTTACCGATGAATCCTCTCCAGAACTCCCATGGTTAAAAACCCCCGAGGTGTTAAGTGGTTTATTTGAGCCGAGCCAGAGTATCCCTGAGGATTGTAATGACAGTGTTGATAACTCCAGCTGATTTCTGTCTGATAAGCAATTTGTGACCTCTGCTGCTTGCATAGCATTTGAAAAATCACTGGTGAGCTCCAGTGTCATTTCAGTCGCAGTTTTTCTTCTCTGGGTGGTGAAATATAAAGTAATCTGAGATTTCAGAGTGTTTGGTGTAAAAGAATGAAAATATTGTTAGAACTAGAAAATGGATTAGAGAGAAATATCCCTCTCCTCTGTCCTCACTCCCCATTGTGGTGTTTTGCTTTGGGGGTTTTTTTAGGAGTATTGCAGCACTTCACCTTTGAGTATTATTTATATTTATATTTATATTTAGTGTTATTAGATTCTATTTAGTGTTTACCAAGGGTAAAATAAAACTAGTCCTTACTTGTTTTCAGTCCTTCAGGAGCAAATCCCTGCCTTAGTCAGTCTGAATAACAATTGTGTGTTCTTCTGGTGACATCTGTAGCCACTGGCACCTGGAAATCATTCCAGTCCTTTGGATCTCTTCATCTTACTGGGATTGACAACTTTTTAACGAGAAAATAGCAGCCCTTAAAGGACAAAGTGATGCAATTTGACTTCTAAACTAGGTATTTCTTTTTAAAAGCATAGGATAACTTCCATACCAGAAGCCATGCTCTCTTTTTTTTTTTTTTTTTTTTTGTGAATAACCCTGGATTTTTTGTTTAAAAAGAAATCAGTGCTCTGTTGCAGAAGACTTTGAAGCAAGTAGGGGTTTGTTTTCAGTGAGGAAAGCAAGCAGCCTGTTGATTTAGGTCCTGCTTAAAATACAAGTGTTACTGCTCTTTGTGAGCAGCGTTGCTTGAGAACCTTTTACCTCTTGTTGAGGCCTCCAATAATTATCAAAGGTGAAAATGTTCAGCAGTTCAAGGAAGGGCAGAACTAACAAGGTTGCTTAGTTCCTTTTGTCGTGGCTCTTCCTGGCCAGAAAAAGAACCTGTCAGACAGAGCTGAGGAAAAAACTTGGGAGAATCAGTATCAGAATTCAGGCAAAACATAGAATAAACGAGGGGATAAACGGTTAAAATGGTCAGAAATTAATTATTTGCCTTTTTAAAGGAGCTTTTCCTTTCTGATTTTATGAATTCATCACTGAGCCATTACACTCCTGCCAGTGTGAGGGTGAGGAAAGCTCTCCTTTCTCTCAGCAGGGGAACGCCAAGAATACTTCACTCTTTCCTAAGAGTTTGGCTCAACTGCTCCAAGAAATTGTCCACACGTGAACGTCCCAGCAATTGTGCAAACAGAAGGGTTGCTGTCAGGGAGGCTGGGGCTGAGAATTCCCACTCTGCTGGTCAGCCAAGGAGTGAACAGAATCAGAAGTGTCTGATTGCCAGCTTTGCCTGTTGGTTCTGTTTTTCAGTTCGATGCCGACAGAGACGAAGAGGAAGTGTTCTCTGACATCAGCTCGGCAGTTGACAGCAAACTGTTTGCAAACAAAGAGGCTGCAGCAGGTGAGTGAAGGCAAGGTTTAGGGAACCACATTTGTTAGGCTGCATTTGGCGTTGGGGGGATGCTGTTCTCCCATTCCAGGAAAAAAATCTTTTTACACTTGGGAACTTCAGACAACCCATCAAACAACTTCCCTGCAAGTGAGCCTTTAAACAGTGTGGCAGGTCCAGTAAACTCTGTCATTAGGACAAAAACTTCATGAGTGGCTCAGTGCAGTTGTTTCAGTTCCAGATACTAATTCTGAAGGTGTTTGGGGCTTTCATTTATTGGTGCATTTATTATTTGTGCTTACCGAGGCTTGAGTGTCTTCAAAGAAAAAGCCTTTGAGGGGCAAAGGACTGCGAAAAGAATGGAAGCTAAAAAATCAAAGCACTGGAAATCTGTAACATCTGTCAGAAATGTTTTGCTTGAAGGGAACAGACACACGTTCTTCGGTGACTTCACAACTTCTTTTTTTCACAGATGACATCCCTGGCTGTTTTTTCCAAATAAACCGTGAGGGTTACATAGGTAGATGATGCTATAAATGTCTTCTGAAACAGCGCACAAAAAAGAAATTTCTCGGGGAAATGCTGCCCTGTAAAATTTACCAGCTTTATTGAAACAAATGTTTGATAGATATATTGTAGAGAAAATCATGTATCTGATGTGTAAGGGAAAACTCATCTCCCATAAATTGGCAGGCAGAATGGATTCATTTATTTGTAACTGTGAACAGCCATTTGGGCCTTGCCAAAGGAAGGGGGAACTGATGAAGCACAACGAAGCAGCAACACATCCATCACCTCTTTTTGACAAAGGGGAGATTGCTTTTCCCTCCTGGAAGGCATTTACAAAGAGCAGTGCCTCAGCCAGGAAGGTGAGGAGCTGAGAGGGGGTTCTGAGCTGGCTGGCTACGAAAACCACCCAAAGGGCTGCTTGGAATGGTGTTGTAAATGAGACACAGATGAAGGATCAGCTGGAGGGGCAGGAAGAGGGCAGGGACTGCAGGGGAGGGTGGGGAGTACAACTCTGTGGTGGTAATTGCCTGTGGATTCCCTAATTAAATAATCTCGGTGTTCAAAGAGGGTCATAAAGGTGCTTGCTCTGACAAACAGCTCAACAATTTGCACAAGTTGGTTGGGGTTCTGGAGGAGTTCCAGTCAGTTCCTTGAGAGTCTCATCTACTTTATAAGTCCCTCACCAAAATAATTGGAGAGCTGGGAGCTCCAGCAGATGCCACGCCACAGTCACCTAATTGGTGCCTAACCTCCTAACAGAAGGAGATTTGGAGTAGGATTTCAATCAGGGCAGGTATTTTCATTTCTGGAGGTTGCAATTCCAGCACTGCCTCGATCTCACTTTTTTATCTGTTAACCTTCTTAGTGGTACTGCAATATACTGGATATATACAGTATTTCTGACATTTCTGTGCCCCCACATCAATCTAATTCTCATGTTATACCTGCAAAATCCAGTTGTAACCAACTTGGTAACAGTGCATGCCGAAAGAAAACAACTGACTGACATTTTTATGGATTAAAATACATTTTGCTCACTGTTGCCTTCCACAACACGCTAAGGCTGTTGCCAAGAGCAACAACCTGTCACGAAACTCAACGGACGAAGGTTGCAACGAAGTTTGTGTTAGAAGCGTCTCACTGAGAGGAAAACTCAAGTGTAACCATTCTAATGCTGATCAGTCCTTCAGTAAGTTATTTCTGTAATATTCCACTTGAAACTTATCTCCCAGACATTTGTCTTGCCCGAGTGCATCCATGCAACTTATTCCTCTGTGGCAGTAAAACTTTTATACGCTTTCTTAATTTTTTTTTTTTTTTTTAACTTGAGTTTCCCCGTCTTGCAGTTGATGAAGTCGCTCGGATCACTTGCAGTGGGTTCCGTAGCAGCACAGGAAGGCTCTGAGTTAACCAAGAGCTGAGATGATTTGGAAAGGCAAAGCCATATCACAAAGCCAGCAGAATGTGCTCCCTCCCAGAGCAGGCTGAGCTGGAGCAAAGGGAGGTCACAAGTACCCTCACCTGTGCCCTGATGGCTTCATCTGCTCCTGGGAGCTGCCACTTGCTTTGATTCATTTCTGGCAGCTTTGTCTTGGGGCAGTTTGAAGAGGGAACAGAGCTCTGCACGCTGCTCAGCGCTGGCTGGTTATGGGTAGTTTGCATTAACCGAGAAAGAAAACGCAGCTTTTCAATTTTCCTTGAGTACAGACCCCAAAAGAAGGTGTGTTTTCCCAAGGACACTGGCGGCCTGGGGCAGGAAAAACGGCCTGAGGATGCTTGACCACATTAAAATTGGATAACCATTATGGCTTTTATCACTTGAGATACATTATGCATGAGGATTCACTCGCAGCCTGACCTTTACATTTAGGTTTGCAGCTCCATATTTCATATTAATGTTTCCAGCTAAGGACACAGACTGCTCTGGGTAGTTAAGTGACAGTTAATCAAGTGGCTTTAATAAAGTGCACACAAGTGCCTTTAGAAGTGATTGATGTGCCGGTGCCAACTGAGGCTCAGTTAAATTATATTATCAACAATGACACGGTGTTGAGAGCGGAGATGTCAGCTGCGTGAAAGAAATCCGAGAATGAGGATTCTCTTGGCAGCTGGAAACTGGTTGCACAGGTATGAGGTGTTTTCAAAAGGCCACAATGTGTAAATGCTGCATGTGTACATGTGGCACTGTGTGGTAGCAGGAGTGTAATTGCTTTCTGTAATTTCATTTTTTTACAGCAATCTGATAAAGTAGAGAGGAGCACTGGAGAGTTTGGAGAGAACCAAACCAAAGGCAGCAGCAGATGGTAGATGCAGGTCTTTCCCTGCTGTCTCTCACGTAGTCCAAAGAGTTAAATTGAAGATGAATTTGGCAGCAGTTGTGATGCAGATTGCAAACTAAGGTGCCCTGGCATCATCCTCTCCACCGAGTTACACTTTGGTCATCGTGACACCCAGTTCCTCTCCTCTGTTCTCTCCCTCAGGGATATTTAATTCACCACCTACATAGATTATTACTGTCTAAACCCAGATAACACTGAAATGTATCTGGCACCAACTGAGCTGCAAAATCTGTTAGTGATGGTGCTTGTTAGAGTGAGAGACCCTCAGAAACAACTCCAATGGTGAGAAAACACCAGGTCAGCAAGGGATTTAAAACTGTCTGTCCTCAGTGCCAGCAGGGGCATCACACCAGGAAGGGACACCTGGAGCCCACGAGGCAGGGAGTGGTTTTCCTGACCTCATGGGTGATCTTGTTTGGCTGGGGACAGGTGGACACGAAACAAAACACACCTTCCACCTCCCCTGGTGTTACCTGTTGCTGCCTACATGAAATCAGTGATTGGACTCATCTGTGGCTCCTGGCTGGTTGCAGTTTTTAGGTTTCTGTGGATCTTTACAGCATTTTGTGTTGTTTAAATAACACTCCCATAGCCACGTGCCTGTTGATGTTTTAGTGTTTGTTGAACGTGGGCAGTGTTTGGTTTGGGGCTGCACCTTGGGGAGGACCCAGGAGACTGTTCCTTCCTTACTGCCCAGGATTCTGGGCAATGAGAACCCCCCTAGACGATCTCGAAAGCCCAAGCCCAGTTTCTGCTGTCCTGCACCATCAGCAGCTCAGCTGAAGCTGAACTGTGAAGCTCAGCCAGGTCAGGGCTTCTACCTGCATCACTCAGTGATGCCATCCCCTTATCTGCTAATCAGCAATTAGGCAGTATTTCCTTTCCCTCTCTCCCAAACATGCTTTATATTCTCCCCTGAGCGTGGCAATGTTACAATTGCAAGTCGTGGCACGCAGAGCACCCTGCCCAATAAATATGCAACGCAGCTAAAGCGATTCACCAGTTAGCATAACCCTCCCTTCTCAAGGTCTGTAGCAGCTCTTACTGGTGCTTTGAAGATTTTGTTAATAAAGCACCATCCACCTGATGCTCTGGCACATCTGAGTGCTCCCTGGGGTCAGTTTTTGCACAAATACAGATAATTGGAAATATTACAGTGTTCCGTCACGTGAGGTGAACGTTTCCAGGCCATTTCTGAAGTCTGATTTTCTTTCCTATTTTAGGGCCAAATGAACTCGACTGCAGCCTGATTATGGATTCTGGAGATGCTGTTTATACTGAATTTGACTTCGAGGACCAGGTAATTTTCTGTATATTGTGGCCTCTCTCTAGACAGTTCTCTAGTTCACGTGAGAGCTGTGCTGTACAATCTGTCTGAACAAGGTGGGGGAACTCTGAGGGTGCATAAGACAAAGGACTTCAGTGCAATCTAAGTAAATTCATGATACACAGAGGTTGCTTTCTGGTTAGGAGAAAAGGGTGAAGTGGAGTCCCTAGAATGCACTGGCAGTCTGCTGGATGTTTAAGAAGAGGGAGTAAAACACTTCTAAAAAAGAACAGCAGGAAAATGTAAAGTGTGAAAGGTGACTACAACCAAATCAAACGTTCTTCCCTTTGGAAAAAAGGCTTTTAGGGATTAAAAACAGCAAAAGCCTTCTAAAGCCAGTGACCAAGTCAGGGCCCACAAAAGTGAATTTTCATTCGGTAGTGTGGGATTGTTCTTGGTTTTCTTTCACAGTCTTCAGTGCAAGACTTTTATCTTCACCTGCAACATGTTGCATGTTCTAGCCCTATTCATTTCTTTTAATTTACAGATCCACTTTACTGTTCTCTTTGGCTTAGTTATTTCAGTCTTGAAAACTCATTTTAAATCCCATTCTTTCATAAACCCTTCTTAAAACATTCTCTGCCCAGGAAACTCTGAAATTTCTCATCATCTTGTGCTGCTTTTCTTTATTGAAGGCATTAGGCCTATAAAGCACAATGTGTATTTAAATTGTGTTTTATACCCAGTTTATATGAGCTGCCTGGTGCAAATATAATGAAAATATATACAGGAGAAAGCCACCGCAGCCAAAAGGCCTTGCCATCTGAATTTTGGAATTATGCAAGCAAGGGTGGCGTCCAGAAGCAAAGAAGAGAGTGGAGATATTACCAGTAACTAAATTCAGGAGTGAGGAACCGCTCCCATGGAAAGCTTGAGCTCGTTTTGACCGTGGCGGTGATTTAATAGTCCGCTGATTTACCACACGCTGTTTACCAATTGTGGGGAAGCATCGACAGCCTTTACTGGGAGAGTCTCGAGCGGAATCTGGATACAAATGTGTCATGCAGGGATGTTATACTGCACAGGAAATCTGTCATCAGAACGTGGGGGAGAGGGAGGCTGGTTCCTAAGCAACCTCCCCCAGCTGAGCTGCTAAAAACGGGCTGGGGTTGGGAGAACGTGGTGGTGGTCACTGAACTGGTCATCAGCTCGTGTACAGCACTTGGCACCTGCTGCTGACACACTGCAAAGCAGCACTGGTGCAGACTGAGGCCTGCCTTTTCCCAAAGTTGGGAAAAAATGCAGGGGAGGTGGAATTTCAAACAGCTTGAGCTTTTTGTGTTGTGCGTTTTATTAATGAACGTTCCGTTCAGTTCATGGAACTAAATCAGGAGCGAGCTGTTGGTTTACTGCTGGCTGTGCGTGAATGCTTCAGGAACACCCATAATCACTGAGTCCCTGCAGCACTGAAAGAAATACCCACTGGAAAAAGGAAAAAAAAAAAAGAGAAACAATTGTTTCTCCAAATCATTAATTGTTTTTCTGGATTTTTTTTTTTTCCTCAGATCTATCAGATTACAAAAGGAATTTTAAAACTTCAGGAATATATTTTGGGCAACTCATTTTTGAGGGCAGCAGCTTTGCAGCATATTCTCAGTTTGCAGAGCTTGCTGTCATGACTGGTGTCTGATTTAATAAGAATTGGCTTTGCTGCTGGAATGCTCTCAAGTGTGATGAAGGTTTTTTACTGCTCGCTGTGTTCCTTTATACTTTCCCTTTCAATCTCTCGACTTTGCCAGAGAGGCTGTCAATATAATGCCACTTGTTTCCAGGGATCAGGCAAGTTTTATTTTTTAACAATTGGATTTTTAATTAGAAACCTACCATTTGGCTTATTTCAAGTGCACTCAGGCCAAAAGGGAGCATTGAAAAATTGGCATCAGCGAATCCTATCAAAGAGCTGCAGAAGGAAAGAGCATCCAATTATTTTCTCGTGAAAAGAAGCCTTTCAGGACAACCTTAGCTGGTCTGAGGAGTGTTTAGATTAATTAGAGAAGAAGTTAAAACACACAGTCAGGTGACTGTAGAGTGAAGAAACTCCTGAACAAGTGCTTGCAGAATTGATAACTTTGAAATTTAGGAAATGTGCAAATCAGGTAAACTTGAAGTAAAAAAACCTCCTAAGTACGTTTGGCCTCCTCTGGGTATTTGGGACAGGGGTTTGGGTTGGAAGGGACCATGAAGATCATTTTGTTCCAACCCTCTTGCCACATTTTTGTGTCTTCAAGGAAGTTGCCAGTTCATAACAGAGGCATTTCCATGGCCTTGCAGTGTCAGAGTGCATTTACTGATGAAATCAGGTCAATGCAACAGCACGTGCAAAGAAGAGATTGTTGGGGTTTTTTTGCCTCCCAAATGTGTCAAAGACCCAGGAAAAGTAGGTGTAAAAAAGGCTGAAAGCTAATAAAAGGTTTTCTGTTCAGCAGTGACAAGCAATCTATTGAATTTAAAAGTGCAGAAAGCTTTGTAATTAGAAGATGTGACAGCTCACCACAGAAACTCAGGAGCAGAACCAGAATGGAGTGAAGGAAAAAAAGCCCTGAAAGAGCCTTCCCCTCGTTGTAAGAAGGCAAAAGAAGCTCTTGATTACAAGTTTTTGCCATGTAGTGACAGTTCCTTTTCCAGCTGGCTGGGATGTGCCATCCACAGCACGGAGGGATCTGGAGGGGAGCAGGAGGAACTGGGGCAAAGCAGATTCCAGTGCCACCAAGACTATTGACAGGATCTCTGGCCTGGCTGATCAGCGGGGCTCGAAACTTAAATATTCAGGAGACGTAACAAAAAGGTCCTGAGAGCCTTTGCAGTGCAGAGGCAGAACATAAAAGCAGCAAATTGTAAGCCTCATTTAACTAAAGCCCTGTGGATGAAACCAGAGCCCACTCCCCTCCATTTACCGTGTTTGCTATCAGCTGTCACTTTGGTTTGATTGCATTTCCTCTGCTTGGAAGGTTTGATCCAAGTGATTTGTTTAACCCAGGGGTTGGTGTCCCAACACAACACCTCCATCAGCAGGAGCTCCGTCCCCTCACAAATATGCCTTTCAAAATCAGAGAAACAGCAAAATGACCAAGAGCATCCCGAAGCCATTTGGGGTTTTTAGTGCTGGGCATTTCTCTGTCACTGGTAGACAATTTGAATTACAGATTCTGGTTACGGTGAGGGTCTGATTAAAACAGGAGCATGGGACAGAAAAGAAAATGAGGGGGAAACTCAGCAGATGGTTGTGAAACTCTGTTCCCTCAACATTTGTTTTCGTTAAAGCCCACTGAAAGGTGGAGTTCAGTCTAGTCTGAGGATATCTGCAAAAAAAGGGATAATGAATAAGCATCTGAAGACATGAAAGAGCTGGAGAGGCCATACTACAGAGAAAAGATGTTTAATAGAAATGTACTGAAGTCAGTGAACAATCTGTTCAGTTCAAGTTGCCATGGAAACTATCCTATTAAATGCTTTTAAAAAAAAAAAAAAAATTCAGTTCTAGAAACAAAGTACTACGGTTTGCCTGTTACAAAACGCTGCCTGAACAAGCTCCAAAATGAAAGGTGTGTTTTAAATCCTCCCCTCTCTGCCTCAGGGCTGTGTGGACTGGTCCACATTAACCCAGCGTTCCTAAAAGTGGCATCCAAACCCTTTCCTTGGGAACATTTGCAGTAATAATTCCTATATTTTAGAGCACTGCAGAAGAAATCACTTTTTTTTTTCTCTTCTTAATGGCTGCTAAAGTACCTGCTGTATATTTTCACATCCACACATAAACCTGCAGCGATTGCAAAGATGCTGTTTTACCGTGTGGGATACAAAACTGCTCTGAAAATCACTTTTTTGGTGCTGTGTTGAAGCAAGGAGAGGGGCCTCTCTGGGTGCATTGGAAGTTCAAAAAAAAAAAATTCCCTGGGTATTTTCAGAAAGCCATATGTTTCCTACGTGGTTTTATTTTTTTTTTTTTACTCCTCACGTATCCCGTGATTGTGCAGTCAGTGTTAGTCATTTTGGGCTAAAATACCCAAAAAAAAAAGAGTGAAAAGCGGCCTAGTTTTAGAACTGCCTCACAGCAAGCGCATCTCAGAGCAGTGGACTGTTCCTTCAGATAATTAAAATCTTTCTAAATTGAGAATTTCTTTATAAATACCGTAGGAGTTTCTTATTGAAAGTTATAAACCTACCTAATAATACATAAATAAGTGTTCTATTAAACCTTGAGTATCCATAGTCCAGTGTTCAGCAGAGAAGGTCTTTGAGCAGCAAAATTTGAGTAGAATGGTCAGTTTTTATCTGAACAGCAGCAGCTCACAGGATGGAGAGGTTCATTGTCAGCTGGGACACTGTCAGTTGGATCTCAGTGTAGATCAAGAGGTTAGAGAGAGCTATTGAGATCTACAGAGAAGCAGATACAAGAAGAAATGCAAACCGTGCAGAATATCCATTTCAATTTGTCTATTGCTTAATTAACAGGAGGAGGAGGATCAATCAAGTTTCTCTGGTTATGAGAGCACAGGAGGTGAGTCTCTTTTTTCACTGTTAATTGCCATTTAATTTTGGTTTCCCCTGGTATTGAAATGGTTACTTGGAAGGTGAAGTAAATTAAGAACAGAGTTATGTGTGCTAGGTTGAGTTTTCAGGTAAAATGTCTTTATCGTATCTGCAGTGAGAACTGTGGAACTGGGGGATTAATGGGCTTGTGGATAATAGCAGAGCATTACAGCAGAAGGTAAATGTAAATCAAATCACATCCCCTTGCCTGAGAGTTACACACAGTTCGGTGGGGTAAGTAGCTGACATAAAAACCAGTAGGTCTTGCCAACTAAAGAGTTTTCGTTTTCATTTTAGACTTTTCAGAAGAGCTGAGGAAATCAAACATCATTTTTGTTGTTGGTAAGTAGGATTCCTGATTTAACTGCCACAATCCCCGTGTCACTGAGCTTTGATTAGGAGTACCAAGCGGTTTTCAGATTACAAAATTCAGTTTACAAATGCAGAGCGGGAACAACGCATTTCCAAGGTCATAAAGATAGCTGCCAGAACGTGGGGGGTTGTACAGAAAGAGTAAGTCAATGTGTGAATTCTTCTTCCTAATTAAAAAAAAAAACCCCACGCTATCGAGTTAATAATAAACGGCTGTCAGTTAGGAGCTGAAAGTCTGGTGGCTGTGAATTGTGCAGGAATTCAAGAAACCTCTGAAGAAACCTCGCAGGAGCATCACAAAATGGGGGGTGGGGGGAGAGGTAGAAAGACAAGCCCCCCCCAAATTCTTAAGCGACAAACTGAGATACTGTTTGGAAGATAAAGGGGAAAAAAACCAGGCACTTTCCTCCCCCACTGATTACCCTTGAAAATTGCCCAAAAGGGAAAGAGAAAGAAATAATCTAATTAGCAAAGATTTACGTTGGGGCTAATGTAGGAGTTAATTGGAATAACAGCGACGTTGGATTAATTAAGGAACAAAACCAGAGTAAAGCGGAGATATTGAACCAGCAAGTCAAAAAATACAGGAGATGAGAGCAGGATAATAAAAGAGACAAAGCCAAGGTAAATTTGGCCTGTAAAATAAGATTCCAGAGCACAAAAAAAACCCCACACAGGTATAAAAATAAACGCTGCAATACTCAAAATTTTATGTATCTTGTTCACACACCAGAAGTAAATAAATACTGAGACCCAAACTCTTTCTTTGTCCAGTGTGTGTCAGACCTTGAATGACCTTGTCTGATTCAATTTATCATTAATTCAGCCCTGTCTGAGTAGAAGGTTTAACCTGATAAGGTCCCTGGCAACCTAAACTGTGCTACAGTAACTGCAGTTCAGAAGGCACGGGATGAGCAGTGCTGATAATTAATCCCCATCAGCCCAAGCACTGAGTGTAGAACCTGAGGAAGGCTGATTTCCAAACTTCCCATGAAATGAACTTCACCTTTTCTTTAGGAAGGACGAAAACTCAGTGATGTCCCAGGACCTCACATCACTCCAGGTCGTTTTGTGATTAAAATTATCTTTCAGAAAACAAACAAACAAACAAACAAACACCAAAACCAGCGTTGAGGGTTTTTTTCGTTGTTGAAGAGATATTGAGGAGCCTTCAAATGCCAAATTCTGAACTTAAGGCTTATTTTTTGCTTGTATAAATAATACAAGTAGCACCGAAGCTAAAATTGAACAAGCCCTCCAAAATCCTTCCTTGAATGTAAGGACAGATTGACTGGGGTTATTTTGGTTGCAGGTCTGACTTCTGAGGCTCCGTTGTTGCAGGTTTTCCCCTGCAGGCACTTTTCCATGACAGAGGGATGATACTCATGGTGATAACAAGGTCTAGAAATTGAAACATTTGGAAAGTGAATGGTGGGGCTCTCTTGTAAATCCCACTGCTGGCACCTTATGTAAATGCTCGTGGTATTTTGGTGTGTGATAAACTTGTGAGGTTTAAAATAGAGCCATCTCAGTCTGCCTGGGTGGCACTTTTTGCCTGATTACCATTTGTGAGAGCAAAAGCTGGCTCTGGAACTGCTCATATTGCTTGTTGCTGTGCCTGCTCACTCCCAGCAGCGGCCCCAGCTCCCTCTGGCTCCGTTAATTCTTTGGGTTGGAGGTCAGGGTGGTAAATTGGAGTGGCCTGCCCAGGCTTCTGGTCCTTCTCAGCCTGGGGAGGCTGGGGCAGCAGGGAGGGCTGAGATCCTTTGCTGATCTGAGGCTAGCTCAGTGAAATATTCACAAGCGCTGCCTGGACAATTGTCACGTCCCCAGCCCCCTCGTCTCACCTTGAAGCCTTTCTGAAGCCACAATTTACACAGGGAAGGGGAAGCACCTAAGTCAGCAGTGCTGCCACAAAGTGATTTACCAGGGCAGGTGAATCAACAGAGTGGAAGGGAAAGCTGCTCTGAGGGATCGCACAGACCTTTCAGTCCAGCCTTGTCCACGGAAAAGCAACGTGCAGAACTGCATTTCATTTCTGGGCCACTACCCTGGCGCCACATTTTTGCTTCGCTATTTGTATCAGAAAACGCAAAGGGAGAAACAAAGTTTCCCATAATAATCTCACCGATTGATACGCTCTTAACTTCTTAATCTGCAGTTTTTGCTTCTTATTGAGTTAACAACTGAGCTTTAAAGCAAGATGTGCGTATATAGAAACCAGAAAACAACGTGATTAATCTGAATAGCTCCCCTGAACCCACAGAGATTTTTTTTCCCAAACTCCACGTAGGCAGAGTCCAAGATGCCAGCACAGAGAACAAATGACAGCGTTCCCAAAGAGTCTCATGCCTTCACAGCAAAAGAAGGGGACAGATTTTCCTCCTGACAGCTGAGCCACTGGGAAAACTCGACTGTTTCCCAGTTTGAAAAACAGCATAACAAGTTGCAGCAGAGCCTTCTTAACCGAAAACAATCGTTTTGTCTGGCTTTTGCTTCTGCTTCACAGGCAGAAACAAATAAACTTTGTTCCAATAAACTTTCTCCCAGTAAATTTTTACTATTTTTTTTCTGCAGAAAAATGCGCTTAGATTTAATCAAAACACCCTCTAAGAGAACAATTTTTGCAGCGCTCCAGATTGGTGGTGAGCTTCGTGGCTACAGGGTTAATTTGCTGTTAAAGCTGCTTGTGTAGGGATATACCCTGAGCCAGAAGTATTGTGTCATCTGACAGTGTTCTCTTTTAAAACACTAACAGACAAGGGTTTTTGAAACACATCTTCTCTGAGTATTTACCTGCTGAACAACAAAAAATTTTCCTTGTATTGTTATTTCTAAAAAGACAGCCAGTTTGTGTAGTATATGAAGGGAAACTACGACGTTTGTGGTTTGGCTCTACATTCAGAAGAGAAACAGTTATATAAGAAACAGAGTAAAATAATCTTTATAGCTGATGCTTTCTTAAATACTGTATATATATATATATACCAAATAAATAGGATTAAATCATTTCACTGCTAGCACATTCAGTGCCAGGAGACAGAATGTGTAAACACAAACTCACTGATCTAAAAAACCAACACAGGACCAGAAATACAATGAGTTGCCGCTCAGACACTTCATGGACTCATCACAGCTAATTCGCCTGTAATTTCTCCACATCTGTTTCTTTGTGGCCGCTCCTATTTTTCCCCCTTTTTTTTCTTCCAACCGGTGCTTTTACAAAACAAGGATGTTCTTCCCTTTAAAGCGGTAGAAGAACAGAACGCGGCCCACGCTGGCAAGAAGACGAGCCCGTGTCAAAGATAATTCTAGCCAAAATTGCAGCACAGGTGCGATTCTCACGCCAGGGGCTGATAATTGTCGTCGTGAAGCTGAAATAAAAGACTGCAGATCACAGCAGACAAGCCCCTTCCTTCGATACCACTGTGACCCAGTTTTTAATCTCGGCTGCGGGGCCGTAACTTCTCTGAAAATCACCTCGCTCGGATCAATTATTTCTTACATGGAATGACAAATCTAGAAGAAAATTCACTCTGTAGTGACTGTGTTATTTGTGGAAAGATAAGCAAACGGGAAAATCATGTGTTTTGGAGCATCTTTCTTACACATAGCAGGGCTGTGTAGTTACACTTGCAGCCCCCTGCAGTTGATAAATGCACAAGTCACACACTGAAAAAACTTTAGGAGCTTGAGCACTGTCTCCCTACAAGGGTATAATTACCTCCTGCCGCGGTAGATCTTCCGAACAGATCTGTCAGAGACTGCAAAATTGCCGCTACAGGCGGTGGGTTTTCTCCACAAACTCCAACATCGGCGCTTGGCTTTCCCGCCCTCACAGCCCGGCGCCATCATGGCCCCTCAGCCCTCAGGGCCTCACCTCAGCTCCAGCGCCGGCTCCGGGGTCACCACCGCACCAGCAGCGTCCCTGGCAAGAGGCTTCCAGCAGTTCCAGGGGATTCTCCATCTCTCCAGCCGGGCTGGGGTGGCTGCAGCACCTCAGGAGGTGGTTGAGGTGGCTTCTCCCGTCCTTGGCCGCCAGGGAGAGGAGGGAGAAGCTCTGAGACGAAGGGGCAGGGCGGGCCAGGAGCAGCCCCACAGAGGCAGAGCTTTGGGGCTCTCGGGTGGAGGCCGCTCTCCTGTCCAAGGAATCAAGAGGATTGAGGCACCATTCGTGCCAGGAGGACACCCACATCGTTCCTTGCCCTTCACCGTGAGGCAGGGCCAGGTGCAGGCGCCTTCCCTCCCTCCGCCTGTGAAGAATCCCCTGAGCAGCTTCACCTGCGTGTCCTGTTGCTGAGGTGCCCATGGCCCCGCTGGGTGTTTGGCTCTGGGCAGGGATGGGGGGGGGGAGCATAACATGCTAATGCTGTTATTCTTTTATTTATTCTTTTCTAATCCAGATATTTTTTCCCCCCCTCACAAAGGTGGGCCCGGCTCTGGCAAAGGCAGCCAGTGCGAACAGCTGGCCAAGAAATACGGGTTTTCTCACCTGTCCACCGCTGACCTTCTCCAGAATGAGTTGTTGTCGTTATCGGAGAGAAGTAAACTGATCAAAGACATCATGGAATGTGGTGAACCTGTGCCTGGTGTAAGCAACAGTTTTCTTTAGGGCCCTAAATGATTAAATAAAGGCAGTGTAGATTGTGTGAAAGGGTGGAAAGAAGCTACTGGAGCTGATGATTCCCATTTCAGTAAAACTGATCTGCAACCCGAGGTAGAAGTTTCCTCGTTACCAAATCTGGGGCACTTGTTTCCCCTTTCTATGCCAATATTTCTTTACATTTCAGACTCATATAGGCAGTAAATTAGACATGGAGTACAGTGAGACAGACGCATTGCAAAATGTGAGTACAGGAGACAGTCCTTTTTATAGCTTTGCATTTCAGATTCAGAGCTGGTCCTCCTGGCAGCTATTCTAAATCACAGCACCTGCAGCAGTTCCCTGCAGGGCTGGCTGACATCCCAGAGTGGCTGGACTGCAGATTAAGGGAGACTGTGAAGGCAGAGGGTGTTGTTCTCAGCTGGGCTTGACTTTCACGTGGCAGTTCTGCAGCCCCAGCTCTTGGTGGGTCATCAGCAAGTGCAGCTGGATTGGAGGATGTTTGTTAATGAAAGATACTGGGAAGTGCTGCTCAGGGGAAACTAAAAGCTGTGCTCAGGCTTGATTTTGATTGCTTTGCTCTTCAGTGAGTTTGGTCAGATGGGGTCACTTTCCATGCGATGCAATTATATCAGTGACATAGCAAAATGCAGTCAGATTGGGAAATGCTGCAGCATTTTCAGGTACCTGGAGGGCACTTTGGGAACTCCTGGGTGGGTTGCAGCACTAGATTTGTGCGGCAGAGCTGGCCCTGAGAGAAGAAAAAGTAGGCTGCCCTGCTACCTGCAACACAGGAAAAGACACTGCATTCACAGGGCTGACTTTTAGCCAGACGGGGCCATTTTCAAGGGGGTAGCACTGGAGTCATTGTAACAAACAGAGGTATCAATCTTTGTCATTAATTATCCAAATAACCCCCTTTTTTCCCTGTGCAGGGCATTGTTCTGGAGCTGCTGAAGGAAGCCATGGTTTCCAGGCTAGGGGACACCAAAGGATTCCTGATCGACGGGTACCCCCAAGAGCTGAGAGATGCAGAAGAGTTTGAGAGCAAGGTGAGCCTAGAATTGTCATGCTGTTCTAACTCCTGTTCAGACACAGCTGTACTTCTGGGGCCGCTGGGGTCCCCATCTTCAGCTGATTGCAGCAGGGACGTGAAAAGAGCCAGTCCGGCAGCAAATTTAATGCAAACCAGGAATAATTCACATTTTAGACTCAATTTTCTGCCTCTAGTGGATGGCACCGTACTTATTACGAAAATCCCCTCAAACACAATTTGCTGTAGGCTCGTGCAAGCCTGCACCTTCCCAGTTAATATTTCTTCCCAGCGAGCCAGCCCTGCTAAGGCTTGCTGCCACTCCAAACAGCAAAGCCCAGATTCCATTTCTGTGGTGAGGAGCAGGTGGCAGAGCCATAAAAAGAGCGTTCTGCAAGTGGCTGCGTGGCACTTCAGAGAGCTATCGATCTCCTGGGGATGTGCTAAGACCTACTGAGAAGCCTCAGCCATGCTTTTCTCAGCCTGCAGAAAACACTCCTGTGAATGAATTCGCCAGGGTTTAGAAGTGGTGAAGCAGGGAAATCAGTTAGATATGTATCCCACCGTATTTCCCCCCACAAATGTCCTGTTTTCTCCCTGAACCTTTAGGTGCTCTGTTTAGTTGTTTACCACACAAGCCTAGCAGGACACAGGCATCAGAAGCTGGACAAAACGATGGGAGATGGGATTTGCTGGAGAAGCCATTCACGAAAATGTTGATCTGGTTCCTCTGTTAAAATGCTGTGGATCATTAAAAAAAAAATCGGAAATTTCTTTCATTTTGTGTCTAAGGAGGAACAGTTTCAGCAGAGCTCTGTATCTGGCAGGCACACACGTCATGTCCTGTGAACTCTGCTCTGTGTTATGATTTAGAGGTTGGGGTGTCCCGGCCTGAGGCAGTGCCAGGCAGTAAGCTCTGATGCAGCCAGTGCAGAAGCAGAGCCCCTTTCAGCTCCAGCAGGCACTGGAGCAGCAACAGATCCTGTATCCTGAGCTGCCTTTGGCGTTTGCACTGAAACACAACGCAAGGGGCTCAGGTGATCATTCTGAATGTGCCATGAATCCCCTTTTCTCAGGGTGGACCTGGCAGGCTGAAAGCTGCTCAGTAAAAGTGTGAAGTGTTTCTCTGAAGTGAGTCATTAGTGAGATAATGCTCTGCACTTCTCCCTAAAGGGCGATGAGAAAAGTTCCTCCTCATGAAAAGAGGTGCACATCAGGCTTTGTTAATTAATGGCAGCAAAGTACAGATGAATAATGCTGCATATGATGCATAAAGAGCATTATAATTATTAACAAAGAGCTGCTCTGTTTAGAAGACATCGAGAATGGTGCTCATGCTTCAAAGTTTGGGAGCTTTGACTGGTGAGCTGTGTAGAAACAGCTGATTCTTCAGCCACTTTTGTTCCTCTCTGTGACACAACTGTATTTTTTACCCAGCCATAATTCTAGAGAAGCAACATCTCTCTGTTCCCTCCTCAGCCTTTCTGCTAGGTGAGAAGCAGAAAACATTTATTAAATTATAAATTTCATATCAGCAGGTGCAAAGTGCCCAGTGTAGACCGGATTGTTTGGCTTCCTGCAGATGTCCCCACAGCGTGTCTTATTTCAGCTAAACTGTGGTGGGAAAATGGTAATAAAAAAATCCCCAAAAAACAACGGCAGTAGAAGTTGCTGTAATATCTGACCGGGGCACTACTCCCACTTTTTGTAATTTTTAACTTGGAAGAATGACATTTCTGTAATGGTTTGAATTCCAGATAAAAGCAATATTGAAAATTTTAAGAAAGCCACATAGATTTTTCAAGTCAGACCCTGTCTGTCAAGCAAGATACAGTTACCTGACCCTATCAGTCAGGATATTCCTCACTGTAAGGTGATGATATGACTGTGACTGGGAAAAGGAATCATTTCCCATTTGTTTTCCAAGACTTCCCACTTCTTCCTAAAGGGTGTTCTGCCAAGGGAAGGACTGAGAAAACGACTGAGGGTGTCTTTAACACATAACTGCACGGAAAAACGATCCCTTTATTTTTCACTGACCCTGTAACACCTATATTTTGCTGGACAGAGTGGCTTTTAACCCCTCTGGACTCAGCCCAGCAGACCTGGTGTCAGAGCAGGGTGCAGACAGATTGCATGGCGAGATTTATGCTCAATGACAGGCTTGTTTTGCAGTGCATCAGGGAAAGGATACACTGGGGAAAAAAAAATGAGGATTTATTTAGAACTTCTGGCTCTCTCCTGAAATATTATAAAGAACATTTTGCTCTTTCTTGCCAGTTCTTTCTTACCCATAAATTCTGTGGTATCTACAATCAAATGGAGAGAGAGAGAGAGAGAGAGACAATTATTAACTGTCTCTGCCAGGCCTGAGAATAAAAATAAATAAATCTGCATTTATTTTCTTTACAGACAAGGACAGACTCTCCCTCATGACTAGATTGGCTCGAGCCAAACAGCACTAAAGGGTGGGCTTCTCATGGAATCTGGGAATCACTTGCCAAGCTGAAAGTGCAGAGAAATAAATCACTTCCTTCCTTTATGCCATGGGTGGTGACCATGTGGGTACCCTGCAGATAAAGACAGAAAGTACTGTGGGACATAAAATAACTCCCAGGGTGAGTCCCTGTGAACACCTGATGGTGTTGCTGAGCCTGTCAGTGGTTACCCATCTCCACTTCAACGAGTTCTGCTCACACAGACACCACCTGCTGATGGATTCCGTGAGGACTCTTTCAGAATGACCCAGATGAAAGCGATTTCCCCAGGCCAGTGGTTTGGATCCTCACTTTGGATGCTCTGCTTTGTGCCCAGGTTGGGGAGCCAAGGCTGGTGCTCTGCCTGGACTGCTGTGCACAGACCATGAGCAGCCGCCTGCAGGTGAGGGACCAGAGCAATCCCAACTCCAGCAGCGCCCAGGCCATCCAGGAGGGGATCCAGAGCTACTGCCGAGCATCACAGCCCCTGATTGCGTACTATGAGAGCAAGGCACGGTTCTGCAAGGTAAATGGCTTCACCTTCCTCATCAAATCACTGCTTTGTGCCTCCGTTATTTGGTGTGTTTGGAAAATCCTGTCTCGTTTTACCCTCCCCTGGTTTGTTTGCAACTTCTCTGAACTCCTGAGCTCCACAGCACGGGCTGAGAGGGCAAAAATCACAGGGTTGTGCTTAATCTGGGAACATATCCTGAATCACCAGCTCATTTGGGTAGAACCTCTTACTGAACATTCATTCTGGAAAGCTTTTCTTTAAGTATTAGGATTTATTTCTTTATAAGGGCTCTCAGAATTAGGATGAAAGATCATGTTTAATCCAAAGTCCTTTAGTTAAATTTACAACTCTGACAGTGAATATCCTGAAATAAAACAGGCCTGCATACAAGAAAGACCTTTTTGCTGGAATAAATAACATAGTTATAATAATTTTAATGAATTACTCAGTTTGCACCTGCTCAGGATGTGATATTTAAAACTTTTTATTTTTTAATCAATCACTTTACAGTGAAGCAAGAAAAATTCCATCAGTGCACTTAGCTGATGTATGTGCTGGCACATCTGTAGACTCATAAGGGATGTTTGGGGTTTTTTTTTCTTTATTTCTCTGCTCTGTCGTGGTAAACTATCCCTTATGTTCAGCTACAGGAAGATCTGATCCTGCTGCTCTGTCTTGTCCTACAAAGGAAAGAATCCAATAATAATTTCTGGATATATTATGGCATCTTTTTTTTCAGGAGAAAAAAAAAATACCCCAGACTTTTCTCCTCTGCAGAGTTCCCAAAAGAGAAAATGCAGCTAATTTATCCTGATTTATCATCCCTATCCTGACCTGAGAACAGAGCAAATAATGCAGAGCTGAGAAAAATGGAACTCAAAAGTCCTGATTTGTGTCCTTTGCTCACCCCACAGTAAGGAAAAACCAAAAAAACAACCAAACAACCAAAAAAACCCCAGACAAACAAAAAAAACCCAAAACACAAAAAAACCCACAAAACAAACAAACAAACAAAAAAAAACACCAAAAAAACCAAACCAAAACAAAAAAAAAAAAAAACCACCACCCAACAAAACATTCCAGTTTGGAAACACACTAAATATTTGGCTCAACAATTTTGGAAAATAAAGACAAATAAACACAGTTCAGATGAGGGGTGGGTATGTTAAGTTGAAGAAAGGAGAGAGTCAAGTTTGCAATCCCCAGGACACAGGGTTGGTTTCTTATTTATAGCAACAGATTTTCCAGATGGCCAAGCATTGACATGAGCAGCCACTCTGATGTTCTCTGAGCGGTGAAAGGAAATTCAGGTGGAAAGCACAAAAACTGACAATAATAACTTCTGATCAAGAATATCAAATATAAATTAGGACTGCAATTATATTTTTTTTGGTGCAGGCTAGGCTAAAATAATCCTTGGGTTTTTTTGTTATTTGTAATATCATACACATACTCTGAGGGAGTGGATGGTGAGATTTTTGGGGGGGATTTAATTTAATATTCCATAATTTCTTTCACACTCAGTTCCAGAACCCCCACCTGCTGCTAAGGGCAGCTTTTCAATAAACTTTCAGTATTTGCTTTTCAATAACCACCTTGCACTGGGCACGCAAGGGCTGAAAGCACCACTCAAAAAAAAAAAACCCCTCTGCAATCTGCCTGAGCCTGTGGCAATCAGATGTTTCAGGTTAACAACATGAAATGCACTGTGGTAGCTGAAATGAGCAGGTAGATGCTGTTATTGTTCAATTCATCTCTCAGGGATTGCCAGGTGAAAATTTAGTGGACACCTCCTCGTGTTTTGACGTGGCTGAATGTAAATCCCTCGGAGTATGTGGCCTTCTGTCAGCTGGGAAGAAAGGGAGGGGGAAAACGATTGGGTTTATTACCTGACTCATCTTTTCAGGCTCTTCCCCAGTGGCAGTCTGTGGGAGGGTAACAAGGAACAGAGCAGAGCAATGTGTTGGCAGTCACACTGCTCCTGCCTCGCTGCCATCAGCACCTAGGAGGTGTCTGAAGGGCAAGTTCAGGGGATTGAAGGTGTCCACAAACTGTCCCTGGTTCAGATCACACACTGGGAAAGCTTAGCCTCCTTTTTCCCTTTTTTTTTTTTTTTTTTTTTAATTATTTTTTCCCCTTGGTGGTGTTCTGCTGTGTCTTCCTAAAATCAGCTGAAGTCCCAATTTCCATAACAATTACGAAAGAACACGTGACCATCCACCCCTCACAATTTACTTCCAGTCTCTGGAAGCAGAGACCCATTCACCCCAGTGGATAGACAGGTATGTGGGGAACAAAGGAACCTCCATCAGCTGCAGATTTGCTGACAGGAAGCTCAGTTGGGTGATTTTAATGCCAGAAGGAGGAACGCTGGACTATGGGGGTGGTTACTGCAGCCATTTCTCACACCAGCACTGTTGGAAAACTGTGGATGTTGCTTTTATGAGAAGCCAGCCTTAAATAACCTTGCAAGCAGCCCTAATTGATGAGGTTTGTTATATTCTGAGAAAGGGAAGTGCACAGTTTTCTCTCTGGAGCTGCTGGGAGCGTCACTGAGTTACTGCAGCACTAGATGTGAATTATTGACATGTGGAGTTAGTTTTGAGCCCCAGTTTTATGAACTGGGCCTTTGTTATGCAGGAGGCTGCCTTGGGAAGCACTGGGGCTGTCATCAGTCACCCTCATCCATATTTTAGCAGTGATTTCCACGCTTACAGGGCCAGTTTTTGTCACAGCTCCCCAGATTTAGCCCCGAGTATCAGCCCCAGCTCTGAAGAGGCCACCAAAAAGCCAAAGTGGCAATCAGCAGTGCTGCTATGATTAGATCAGTTCCACAGTGCAGGTGGATTTCTTGGCCTGTTGGGAACAGGAAACTCCTTTAATTCTCCTGCAGAACAAAGAGGTGGCAGAAAGCCTGATGGTCAGGAAGGTCCCCTTCAAACATCTGGCATCCCAGTCAGCAACCTGGAGATGAAAATGCAGCCCACAGTTCAGAGAAGCAGCATTTCCCAAAGCTGTCCATGGCATGCATGAGAGACTCAAAGGAAGTTTGCTTTTGAGGAGACACCGAAGCTCTCAGCAGGCATCTGAGGAAAGGGACAGTCAGCAGATGCATCTCTGTGGTGGTGGCAGCCCGTGGGAAAGGTGCTGCTCTTCCTCAGCAGGGCAGAGTTAATTGGTCTTTTCTTGGTGAAGCACAGCCCTGACAGACAACTTGAACAGGAAACTGAATTTTTGGAGATGATGGGCCTTTGGAAAGTGTTCGGTATCCCAAAGGTGGAATTTTGCTTTCAAACCCGACTATTTAAGAGGAAGAGCTTAAGCTCCTTCCTTTGATTAATGTACTCTGCCACAGATGATGGAGCCCACGGGACCTTCTCACATAAATCTGTGCAAACAAAGTGAGTAACGTGGGTTATGGAAGCTGCTCCTTCACATTAAAATGCTTTTAACATCAAACAGAGTAACCTTCACTTTACATTGGACCAGTGTGTTGTGTGTGTTCAGATTCTGAGAGAATTTCTTGGGACTTAATCAAAACTAATGTTATTTTTTTTTTCCCCTGCCTGACAGGTTGATGCAGAAGGAACACAGGAGGACGTTTTTCTGGAAATCTGCAAGACAATTGACTCTTTTCTGAGGAGGGAAGAGGCAGCATTTTCAACAGAAGCGCAGTGATGGTGTGTCCTGGTGTGCACTGGTGTGTACTGGTGTGCCCTGGTGTGCCCTGGTGTGCACTGGTGTGCACTGGTGTGTACTGGTGTGCCCTGGTGTGCCCTGGTGTGCACTGGTGTGCCCTGGTGTGCCCTGGTGTGCCCTGGTGTGTACTGGTGTGTACTGGTGTGCTCTGGTGTGCTCTGGTGTGTCCTCAGCCACGAGTGCACTGCTGGTGGAAGCAGCCCTGCTGTCTCGAAGGGTGTCTGGAATTTGTGCATGTGGTGTGTTCTTGTAGGTGAAATCTTTGTTCTCTGTTCTGACAGTGGGAAGTGCTCCGTGTGCAGGTTGTTTCCGTGGCTGTTGGCTCTCCAGGGGCTCAGAGCAGGCGGCTGAATGGAACAGCAGCTCTGGTTTGTGTTTCATCCTCTCCTGCCTTGGATGGGAAATCAGGCAGTGCTTGGCCAGCAGGGAGCTCTCCAACCCCCCCAGCTCTGCTCAGCATACTCATGTCAAGGGCACTGCATACAAGTTTCCCATCAGACATTATTTCATTAACAGTTTGGGTACTTGTGGTGTCACCAAGCCTGTTCTCTCTAACAGGCAGCTGTGAGACAGCTGGAATTAGTTCAGCTACAAGTCAAACTTCTCACACATCCCCAGAACACCACTGCAAGGAGGAGAAAGATGAACTGAAGACGCGGCTGGATATCGTGGAAGTCTGTCAATCCATCAGTGTGGTGCACACCCCATTTCTGAGAGAGTCCTGTCTTCTGCCGCGAGCTGCAGGAATTTACAGCTGGTTGTGTGAGCTGAGGAGAGCACGGGGGCTGTGGCACAGCTCAGGGTGCTCAGCACTGGTCCAGCAGCTGCACTCTGGCTGTCCAAGCCTGCAGTGACAATGAGCGTGAGCCACAACTGCCACGTCGTCCTCAGATCGCACCTGGGAAGGATTTCAAATGCCAAATTCACACCATCATCATCATCATCATCATCATCATCATCATCATCATCTGTTGTCTTGTACTGCCATTGCCAAAATTTGGGGGAGGGGGGTACGTGTGTGTGTGTGGGGAGGGGGGGTGGGAAACCAGCAAAAACCAACAAAAAAAAAAGGAAAATTTCAGGGATTATTTGATTCCTGTTGCTTGCATCTTTAATAAGTCATTTATCTGTAATTAACTGCAAAGCACTCCGTGAGAGTCACACAAGTATTTCTGTTGGGGTGACCCAAAACATCGTGGAGTTTCTCTGGTATTACTGACAGCTACACAAAAGCCTGTCTGACATTCCTGTGAAGTCACTGCATCCTCTCACTGGAACTCCTGGATGAACTCGCAGTGAAAGTTGGGTTGCATGATCGCTCGTACCGTCCCAGTTGTACTTTATGCAGCGGATTTGCATTTTTAAAGTTAACCTTTCTTGTAATGAAGACATCATACAAATAAAACCACGTACAAAAACGAGGAGGAAATGATTTCTGTTACAGAATATGTGGGGTTTTAATCCTTTTTTCAAAGCACAGTACATGAGTTGAAAATAGAGCTCAGCTCAGCATGCTTACAGAGTCTGTCCCATCTGCAGTCAGGGCATGTCCTTGGTTCCTTTTCTTCCTCAGCATCCGCCCTGGAAACGCCAGCGCAGTGATTGTTCAGGGTCTGCTTTACACGCGTTCTGATCCTTCATATCCTGGCTCTTCCTTCGTCCCTGGGTCCTCCTACAGCCCCAGCTCAGGAGGACCAGGCTGGGAACCAGCCCTGACACACCAGCAGCTGCTGCTTGGTTGGTTGGTTCTTTTTGGAGGGGGTGTATGTTTGAAATCTAACGGTAAAAATTATTTATTTAACATACACTTTCAGTTTAATTTTTATTTCCGCTTCTTTTTTTTTTTTTTTCCTGTGGGAAAAAAAAAAAATAACCAAAACAAACTCCATGCTTGATTTGGTGTATGTGCATTAGATACCCATTTGCATAAATATGCCAGAGAAAGAGCTGTATATGCATGCAGAGGGAAATATTCATATTTATACATATTCAATAAAAGAGGACTTAGCCAAGACGCTCCTTTCTTGGGTGACTCAGACTCGACACCATCCTCCTGCTTCCAGCTCATCCCACTGACACCACCGGGGTTTGTTCTTTCCAAGCTTCCCTGAACTGATGACTCTCCTCCTCTAACGTACCTTCACTCTTTTATTCCAGTCGTTTGTCCAGGATATCAACAGAAAATGAGTTATTCCCACAGATCCTCTCCCTGATAATGCCCCTTCACCAGCTCTGGTTTCCCACAGACTGTGGATGACGTGGAAAGCACATTTTGGTGGTATCTGAGAGCCTCTCAGAGCAGTCTCAATCCCAATTTAAAATACATCCTGTGAGCTTTTGTGTTCTATTTTTTAAGGGCTTATTACATTTATCTAAGCCTAGTGAGATATGTTTACAGATGCTACTTGCTCAGTGTTTTAGTAACCGTACTGGATTACCTTCTGAAGAGATTAAATGCCTAAAAATGACTTTACCCGAAGCAGAAAACAGCTACACCTGAAGTTATTGCAAAAACTTCCTACTGATCCATTTGTAATTAAAGTTGCTGGGTGCAGCCAGCCAGTTACCCTTCTTATTGCCACCTTTCAAAGTCAAACCAGTCTGCTTCCTCCCTCCTTGCTCTGAGTTTCAAAGCAACTGGAAGTCACGGCTATAAAATAATCGACTCACAAGCTGCACATTCCATAAAAACATTAATATTAAATATGTCACAAGAATTCCGAAGCTGCTCGGACGAGGGGATCCAGTGTGGCCCCGAGGCTGCTAAAGGAGGAGTCTGGGAGGTGGGAAAGGCTCGTCCTGGCTGGGATCCAGCCCAGGGAGCGTCTGCAGGACACACCTGCAGGGCAGGACACACCTGCAGGACACCTGCAGGAGGCAGGGCCAGCTCCTCCCAGCGTCTGCCACCTCCTCAGGGAGTCCCAACTGCACAGAAAGGAAGTCACAGCAAGCATTCTATATATAAACAGACTGGATCCACAGAGTTTATTTCTCACAGTTCTCCCGACAATCGAACATTATTTAAGAACATACTGTATACACAGATAAGAAGGAACATACAAAATGTTTTAAATGATGCACAACAAAATCCAGCAGTATAAAAGAATGCATGTGAACCCTTGCTCACTGCTCAGGCTAAATTTAATCACTGTTTAAATAGTAATAAAAATACAATCTTTCATGGATCTTGTGCAGACTACAAAAGAGGAAAAATTATTACCATATATATGATTTATATTAGGCAGTTTTTTTCTTTGATGAGTTGCACTAACAACTCCAAATACAGAGGCAGAAGGCTGTGTATTTTATTTTAAAGGAGTTAATGTCGAGTATTAGAGACTTTACACAGTTACTAGCACTGGCACTTTTCACCATATTTTGTACACATCACATGATCATCTTATATAACATTACATTTAAAAAATATATCTGAGTGACAATTTTATAACATTCACACACCATGAGCTGGTTAAGGAAGCAATGCCACAGTTGCCCCCTGTAGTGCTTCGCCGTTGGTAAATTAGAGTTCATCGTGGTTTTTTTTAAAAAAAAAAAAAAAACGAAATTAAAAAACTCGAAAGTCGACCATGATCAAGCAGCTCCGACTGAAGAAAGGCCTGGAACCAACCCTCACCCAGACAGGGAGGATTTTTAGAGTACAGCCTAGAAGCAAACACTGTCATCGGTTAAAACCTCGCCTAAAGGAGTCAGTTACTGTGCTGAAAACTATTTCACGACAAAACTGCAAGCTACTAAACTGGTTTTATATAAATACTTCATCTCCTCTGATCTCGTCATTATTAACCGAGTTCCTCGAAGCCTTTGGAATTTTCCTCTATCTTTGTAACGTGTGCTCTCAGTTCTGGCTCACCCTTTTTGAATGTTTGTTTTTTTTTCTCTTTTTGCTTCCATTCACCACCCCCTAAAAGCGTCTGACGTGGTGAGAAAAAGCCTCCCCAGTGGAACCTTCCTGCACACCAGGAATGTTCAGCTGCTGTTCAGTGATCTGCAGAGCCATGACAGCTCCGAGCTGCAGTTGCACAAGGTGCACCCAGGAAGCTCGTCCTGCTGTGAGTGACATTTCAGGGAAAGCAGAGTCTTTCCAAAATGTGCACAGAGTTAACAATGGTGCCATTGTTAATTTTGCCAAGAGGACAAGGAAACCCAAGGTGGGAGATCTGCTTCCCATGTCATCTATTTGCTGGAAAGTAGTTTGGGTCAAGATAATTGTAACTGGTGCCCTGGGACATGCAGTAGTCTCTGTCTAAAAATGTCTCTGCTCTGTAAATAGGTTCTAACTGGTGATCTTCCTTATGAATCTCTGTTTCATGCAGACTGCAAGGGAAAGAGAAAGATAACAGTTTAAAAGTCAAATATTTCCCTTAACTTTCAGAAACAGCCATCACATGAACTGATCCATACCCAGCTGGGTACCAGTTCACTCAGAAAGTGTAATTCCCCCCTCTGTTCAACAGCAGCAAACCCATCTTATTAAAAAATAAATTATACACCCAGAACTTGTTAAAAAATATCTCTCCCCCCACAAATACAAGCTGAAGTATCTCCCCCTTCACCCAGCACAGGATGTGTGTCCCTGCTGGAGCCAAGATCTCCCACACCCACAGCAATCCCACAGCAGGGAGCTCTGATCCCCTGGCCAATAAATAACAAGCAGAGGCTGCTCACCAGTCAGAACAGGAATCACAGAAATCCAAGGACATCTCCTGGGGACAGTCCTGGCAGTGCCACCGCACCCCCTGGATGGGCTCGATCCCGCAGTTGTCGCACTGTGGGGCAGAGGGGAGAGCGCTGAGAAACACCCACTGTGGGACAGGACTGAGAAACACCCACTGTGGGACAGCACTGAGAAACACCCACTGTGGGACAGCACTGAGAAACACCCACTGTGGGACAGCACTGAGAAACACCCACTGTGGGACAGCACTGAGAAACACCCACTGTGGGACAGGACACGCCAGCCCTGCCCGTGGACAGCCCTGTGTGGCCACGAGCCCTCAGGCTCTCCAGACCCTGAGGATTCATCAGCCCTTCTCCTGCTTTGCTTCCCACTCCCCACGTGCTCCACACCTGCACATTGTCCTGCTCGACCAAGGCAGGGCAGCCCTGCCTGCAGACCCTTCCAAAAACCTGAGCTGAAGAATGCTGCAGAGACAGGGCTGAGAGGGGAAGAGGGTTGTGGGAAACAAGCTCATCCTCCACCAGAACCTGCAGTTCTGTCCCAGCCTCTGTCTGGTCACAGCTCATCCAGCCCAGGGTTACAAATGGATTGGTCACACCTGCAGCCCTCCCTTCCACACAGGCTCTCCCAGCTCGAGGGCTGGTCCTGAGGAGGGACTAAGTTAGGAATAATGTTAAAACTTAATAAAAAATATAAACTGGATCCAGTTATCTGAATTTGAGAACCAAGGCACTTGGAAACCCTTGACCTGAATTTTTGTGCCTCAACTTCCCTCCTGTCCCCTGTGAAACAAAAACAATGCTGTGCCTGTCATCTGCTAATGAAAAAAAAAAAGAATTATTTCCAAATTGCTCTGATATTACAGCAGTGAAAGCCACAAAAAGCCCCCAAGGGACTCAACAATTCCATATTCGAAGCAGAGTTTGAATAATGAGCAGTAAATGAGGGCCATGCAGAGCCAGTGCTGCTCTCAAGGGTTTTGTCAGGGGAGGCCCATCCAGCCCAAGGCAGAATTCCTGAGGGAAAACAGAACTGATCACCTCATTTCCCAGCTTACTATAACGCAGCAGACAATAAATTCAGAGGTAAAGAAACTTCCAAACTTCAGATGCTCGGCACTGTGTAATGCCAATTTACTTCTCAGAAGAATTTTATGAAGCAGAAGCAACGAGTTTGTTACCTCAGAGTCTGCTCTGCCTGAATAAGAGTTTGATTCTTGGGGGAAGAAAACGCTCATTTGAAAAAATTCCCCACAAAACAAACCACCAAACACACCCTGTTAACTAAAGCCAGCAAAAATAAACAGCACTGTTTATTGTTAGATTATTGTTTATTGTTGGTGGTCTAACAGCTGCTTTAAGATTGTCCATATCAAGTGAGGAGTCTGTCTCCACTCTGCAGTCATTTTGAACTGAATCTCTGGATTTTTACATAAATGGCTATTAGGAAAGAAACAGCTGAGGCAAACATTGTTTTGTGGCCTTGCTTCAACTTCAGTGAGTTATTACTCGATAGGATTGTGAAGTTGCTACAAAATAAAGGAAATATTCATCTGTGACTGTTACTCAAAGTCTTTGTCCCTTCCTTGGCCTCAGGAGGAGGCAGAATAACTCCAGATTTAATCAGAGAACCGTCCTGAATGAATGATTGTTAAAACAACGCAGTGTCCAGTGGAATCTGTAATGATTTCACAGCTGCATTTTCCTAACACAGTGAGGGAAAGAGGGAATGTTTATCCATTTCCACAACCATCAGCACTCAGAGCCACCTCAGAGTGAACGACTGGGGCTGTTTTTATTGAAGGGACTGACACAGAGAACAAGAACTGAGGAACCCAAACCCGGGTGGAACCAAATCTTCCCAGGGAATTCAAACCCTGGAAAACTCCTGGACTGCAGTGAGGAAGGGCAGAACTTCCTTGCACTCACCTTGAAGCCCACGTGCTGCACAAAGCCACTCTCTGCATGCATCTGCTGCAGCTTCTGCTTCTTCAGCTTCTTGAACTCCAGCAGCTCTTTGTACTCGGGTAACTCTCGGTATGTCACTGGAATACTCTCTTCATCCTGGGCCAAACAGAAACAGCCTCACTTGGGGAATGTGGGAACAAATTCCTTCCAGAGATCACTGGGTGTGATTTAATGATCCCTGAGGGAAGAGATGGCAATGTATCCTGACACGCTGGGGAGATATTTCTACAAACGAAGCACCCAACAGTGCTCTCAGCACCAACAGGTTATTTTCCATTTTTATACTTCATTAATTAAAACAAAAGCCCCACTATCCCACAGGCAAGTTTCTCCTGGTGAAGGCCTTAGCTATGGTAGAAAGGAGCAAGCAGTGCCTACATTTAATGTCTATTTTGGTGGGTTTTTTCCTCATCTTAGAAATAACCCCCTTGTCCAGACACAGCTGCAGCAGCAGAGTCAGCTCTGGTTCAACACAAATTTATTGTAGTTCTACACACTGGGCAGCAGATAACTTCGCTGAGAACTAGAATTTCAGGTCAGTTTTATCGAGTTAATTGACCTTTCTCTTCACTATTCACAATTTCAAGACAATTATTTTATTGCAGCAGCTCTGCTTGGCAGATGTCACCTGTTTGCAAAGGCACAGAGCAGTTTTCAGACCCTGCACCAGCAATTAAAATTCCTCTAATGTAGCCTAAATGTGTCATTTCTTCTTACAAACCTGTGAAGATTGAAGATCCTGTATTATTTACTAAGTTAATTAAAGGAAGTGAGGGAAAGAGGCTTGCTCTTTAGTGTTAAATTGCTAAAGGCCTTATCAATTATTTAACTGTAATTATGAACTCAGATGAAGGACTAGACTGCCGGTGTTCAGAAAAATGATGTTTAAATGACGTGGTTCGGGTGTGTGGTGAGGAGTTACATCCTCCAAATATAAAACAGGGATTTCCCTTCCGTGCAAATCTCAAGTTTTTCTGAGAAGAACTGCCTGTATATTGAATAAAGTATTAATAACTGTATATTGAATAAAGTACTCCTTAAAAGCCCCCTGTGTGGACAATGTAAGCAGTTCTATTCCAGAATAACGAGACTACTCATGAAATTAAGAAATCATAACTGAAAAGCAAATGAACTGCGGTGGGAATGGTGTTTCTTGGCTTGGAAATAACTCATTTCCACCAAAATATAATTTTTTTTCAGGAATAGTTTTGCCAGTCAAAAGTACTCAGGCAAAAATCTTTGGTCTTGGCACAGGAATGGTAATTCCAGTGGGAAAACCTGATTTTCCTGCCACGCTGCATTTCTCCAAGCGTTCTTCTCCAAGACACTGAAGATGGGATCTGAGACTTCCCAATGACTCCTACTACAATTTAATACTTACTCGACGCTATTTATCTGCTGGTGAGGATGCCTAATCCTCCTGTTTTCACTAAACAAGATCAAGATGAGAGTACAAGGTCTGAAAAAGCAAGGCAAGGTGCGGTTGGAGGGACGTACCGACACTTCCTCTTCTGCTGCAGCGTCCATATGGCTGTGAAAACTGCACCTGTCATCGTCCTCATCCATGTAAACGGGGGGTTCGTGGGATGTCATGAAAGTTGAAGGTTTGAAAAGGTGTTTATTTAAGGGATGTTGCCGTCTACTGGATGACTAGGGGGAGGAAAAAAAAGGGTGTATTTTTAATAACGTCATTATTTATTTATTATTATTTAAAACTTCTCACCAACTTTTTCTGTTTGTGCCTTAAAAAAATAATAATAATCTAAGCCTAGGTTAGTTATTTCTCTCCTAGTCCAGGAGAGGGAAAGCAATTCATTCCACCATCAAAGCTTTTTAAGAGACAGAAAGAACTGCTCTCTGAGGGTTCTTTTTCACTGTCACCGTGTGAAAAAGGCACCTAAAAAATATCAGGGGAGATAAATTCCTCCATTAACACATATCTAAAACCTCTCAGCTCTGATGCTGCCTGAAGGTGCAGAGGGCATGCCAGGCACTCAGCCCCTATTATTTATTCCCCAGTGGGAGAATATTAAACAGCAAAAAGAAGAGTTCGACATTTTTAACGTCCAATCTGACATTCCTCAGTTTAGGGAAAAAAAAAATCAAATCTGTGTGAATCCAAAAAAGCAGAAATATTGAAAAGAGGGGGTTTTTAACGAGCATAAAAGAGAGGATTGTCTTACAGTGTGCCTGGCTTCCAACATCCAGATAAAGCATCTGGAAATCAAGGCAGGGTTGTTCTGACCCAGGAATTTACCTGAGGATTTGAATTCTCTTTTCAACATGATCTGCCTCTGCTAAAAAAAAATGAATCAAAATACTGCTTAAAAGCAGACAGTAAAAAGCCATTTTCCCTCTGGGAAATGTGTCTTCTGGATTAAGCTTAAAAGCAGGTGCACTGATGATATTATATAAACATTAAAGAGAGAATGATAAGCCATAATTGAAGAAGTGAATACTAGAGCCCTAAATCTCTGATGCAGGTTTATTTTCCACTCTCAGTGGATAATGGTTACACAGGAAAACAGACTCTGCTTAATTTCCTGTGGCACTTGCCAGAAGAGACATCATGTCATATGGGCAAGGTGTTCAAGGAACGAACAGGAACCACTTGAAAAAAAGCATCCTGGACAGTCCCCGTGGAGAGGTGCAAAGGAGTTCCTTGTGAAGCCTCCCTTCTGACACAACTCCTGCATGTCCTCCCTGCACTGGAGAGCTGGGAGCAGCAGCCTGCTGAGTGCTGTCGATGGGGCTCTGAGCACGCAGCTCTATCAGCAGCCTGACAGCTCAATTCCTCCCCCCCCCCCCCCCCAAAATGCTGTTTGTTTGGTGGGTTTTTATTTTCATCTGCTGAGCTCCTTGCACAGGCTGCAGATGGGAAATGGAGATGCTGCCTCAGAGCAGAGCAGGGCACTGTGACCCTCCTGGGGAGGAGGATGTGACTCACACAAATGGGAGGATGAGCTCCGTCCTACCTACAAACCCGAGGAGAACCTGCAGGAATGGGAGTGTTGGTAAAGAGTTTTCTAGAAAATATGTTTTCCTCTTGCTCACAGTGGGGCTAAAGAGCTTCAGGGGGATCAATGTTCAAATTAAAATGTCCCCCAGAGTCTGCAGGAACAGCCTTTCCAAACAAAACCAAGAGGAAGGAAGACAAGCCACGTCACCAGGGTAATTTGGAGTGGTCCAGTGACACGAAGGACTCACAGCGTTGCAATTTCCAGAGCTGAATTCTGCACTCCTTTTGAAATCAGGATTTTTATATCCCACGACAGAAATTCGCCCCGACTGTGCAAGTCATTCGGAATTCTGGCAGATGAATCTTACCACAGTATTTAAGGTACCAGCATTTCCCAGCTGGTTTTTTTTTTGGTTCTTCTGCCAGAAAGCACTTTTCCAACAGACAAGGTGGCAGACAGAGCCATATATTTTAAGGGATTCAACCTGCAAATTTGTCTTTTTGCAGAATCAAAGTGCAGTCCTCAACAGCACCCAGGATCAGCACACAAAGCATCTGACTGGTCTGCACACAAACTGAGTCTTTTCTTCTGCAAATTAACCTTTCTCAGGGCCATCCTCTCTTCTCCTCCATTCCAGGCTCAGGAAAAACACTCTGTTTTAATATCTGTTGTTATATTTGATTTGATATGGGTTTGGTAATTAGAGGATTACTGTATAATATGAATTACAGACGGGGTTTTCATTATCCCTTCTAGATCAATTATAGTAAATTTACAAAGGAGGAAAGGACCACAATCCATCCCTGTTAGTTCAGCTGCAGCACATTCTCTTTTGTGACCCTTCATGTCCCCAAGAGCTGTGAGTGTGAAACCAGAATTACCATCCCCTCACTGCACTGGCAAAAGAAAAAGGTCACAAGTAAAAAATACATGCAAGCTGCAACCAGTTAGTAAGAATGCACTCACCAAGACTTAAATCTACTCAAAATGTTAATGATTTCCACCCAACTTGCACATAAACGCAAACACAAATACAGGATTTCTGCTGGAATATCGTCTCACCTTTTTGGAATATAAATATAAGTTTGGAGTTCTTCCTGGAACTGGAATACCAGCTTTAGTCAGCTTAATAAAATATTTTTGCACTCTACTGGCAACCTAGGGAAAAAAAGCAAGATGCAACAGTTAGCTGAGGTCAGATGAAATGGAACTGGTCTTCACTTAATACACCCAGGAGCAGAAATGTGATCAGAGCTGAGGAAATCCTGTACATTGAAAAACTTCACTGTGCTTTCAGCTGAGAGGGAACACATTAAAACGCTGTCAACACACAACATCAGCATTTTATTTACTTCTCCTCAAAATGGAGACATCCTGTCATTTCAGGGGGAGAATTCCAGGAGTCAGATGAGGAATATTTATTTGGTGTCTCTACATCTTAGTCCTTCTGTGCATCTTTGGGGCACTTTCAGCAGTCTGTATTTGAGATGGGGTACAAGAGTCACATTGCTATCAGTGAACTGCAGGCCCTGCTGTTTGTGATCCCTGAAATTACACTGAATTCTCTTTACTGGCATTAAAGAAAGGAACTACTTCTCCAAGAGGTTTTGTTCTCCAAGTGGTTTTGTCACCTGCTTTGCTGTCCTGTTTCCCAGTTCATCAGCAATCTTCTGCCACCGGCGGGACTCCACTTCCTCGGGTGGATACTTCAGAAGCAACTGCTCGAGTTTTTTCTAAATCAACAGTGGAAAAGAATAAATAGATTTTTTCCTAGCAGAGGAAAGGATCTCCACCCAGGTGACTCTGAGCTGTTCCACACTTGGTGTGTTATCCCAGGGACAAAGGGAAGGAGTTTTACCCTTACCTGTTCCTCTACAGTCCACAGCTGGTTAAAGGTTTCAGGTTTGGTCTCATCACAAAGTCGCCCCCTTATCATCTGCTCCAATACAGGACACAAAATGGAACAGGTGTTCAGAGAAAGGATGGTCAGGATAAAGGCACTTGAACCCATCTCCTCCCTAAGTAAAACCAGACCCCACAGCAAACAAACCCAGGGGAATTTGAGGTAAAATTTGCCTGACCCAAAGGGAAGTTCCAGGGTTTGAGTACATGGATGACATGGCACCAATAATGTGAACATCTGAGGTGACAGGTAAGATTATTCACTTATGCATATTGAAAATAATAATAATAATAATAAAAAAATTAATCTTCTGTAAATTTTTTTTCTTTCCTTTTAAATAACTACCTGGGGACGACTGTTGGTAGAACCTTCTGGACCATCGCTTAAAGGCAAGACAGAGTATGAAACAGCCTCTCCATCCTTCTTGGGATCCAAAGGACTTTTTGGTCTGGCAGGTATACCTACTGCAAGCAAAGAGAGAATTACTAACCCCCCCCCACGCTGGCCATTTCTTTCCCTGGGATGTTTCCCCACCTCGCTTTACCTTTGTCAAAAATCAGCTTCACTCTCCTGCTGTTCCGTTTGCGGTTCTTGAATTCCCTCTCGAAGTTCCCAAGGCTAGTGGTGTATTGGTCCCAGGCAATCTCAGGGAGCTGAACAACTCTCTGAGGATATGGAAGACCCATATCAACCTGAAAAAAAAAACAAAAACACCAGCCAAGGATGCAAAGTGAACAAGCAATATTTGACAGGATGGCTCTGCACCCAAACCAAAGCTACAAACACTGAGAACGTGCTGCAAACCTGACACTGCTTGCAGCCACCAGCAGAATTGGAAATCAGAGCTTTTGGAGTGCCATGCAGCACGCAGGGTTGGGAAGGAGAAGGTATCTTTGAAGAATCATACACAACAGTGCATCTAAAATATGCAGCGGCACGGTCAATGATGGCTTATCCAGCAGAGAGCTGGGGTGTGTCCCTCACAGCTGAAATCAGGGGTCTCCTGCTCCCAAATCCTCCCACTGCCTATCTGCCTGCTATTAAACATGCCATCTGCTCAGGATCTGCACCTTCCTGAACACAGGAGATCCAGAGTTTTATCTCCTGAGAAGCCTAAAATTCTCCCACCGAAGAGCTCAGTGTCTATTTTACACTGATTTAACTTACACCTGTTGGAAAGCTCATCTCCTTAAACAAAACCACACCAATACTTGCAACTCTCTTCAGTATTGCCCCATGGAGCGATTATCAGATGCAACACTTTTCCATCAACAGCAAGGCCTTCCCTCAGATCCAGGTTCTCCAACCCCCAGGAGAAGATCACCCCCTGCATTCCTCACTCCCACACCACCACACTGGGAGGTTGTGTTTTGTTTTGTTTTGTTTCAAAAGCTTCCAAACAAAAGGTTTCCATATCTAAATTAACTCTCCTCTCCCAGCCAATGTTCTGGGGTCTGTAAGTCAGGTATGGTTTTTTACTGTTCCTTTTGGGTTTAGACAACGAACTGTTCTCTAAGAAATACCCTGCCAAGTTCACTCAAAGCACAACATTTCATTTCTCACCTGAGAAAAATTAGGAGTTTTCAATCTGATACTTTCAGTCACCTGCAGATTTCAGGTTGCCTTAAAATGCCTATCAGGACTTTATAAAATGACATTTCTACGTACCAAAAGAAAGGAAAGAAAGCGTTCCTAATAAAATCATTGAAGGCCTATGTGTTACAGATCTAAGAAGAAACCAAAGGGCTATTGCTGCTCAGCAGATAAAGGACCTTAAACTCATAGTTTTTATGCAAATATACACCTGTTATTAATGCAAGAACACACCTGTGCTCCCATTTCTACTAGTCATTAAAAAAAAAAAAAAAAAATTAAAAAATAAAAATTCCGAGTAAGACTTAGGAAAAGCCCATAGAAATACCTTCTTCTGGAGTCTTTCCACAAATCCAATAGGATCTTTCAGTGCTTCTCTCTGGTGTCTGCCTAAACTTTCAAGGTCTTGAACTGCTTGAGTCCGTTGAGCCTCGAGCACAGCAATCGTCTGTAACAGTCTCTGATAACTACAGAGACAAAGGAAAACATCTCACTGCGTTGGCCTCGCCCAGCGACCCCCAGCTCAGCTGAAACATTGCATTTTTTACACTGCACGGTGGTGAAAAGAGAGCAGATGGATGGGAAGTTGGGAGATGAAACAGAAACCCGCAAAGAAAAATAAAAATTAAACTCTCCGGTGGTTTTCCCTTGAATTGTAAATTCTGGGCTGGCTGAAGCAATGTGGTAATCAGGGACAACCTGCGTTCACGTTCTCAATAAGCTAAAAACACCACCAAAAAAAAAAAAAAAAAAAAAGCCCTAATTTCTCTCTCTAATTTCTCTAATTTCACTGTCAGCTTCCTTCCCCCCCAATAAAAACGACTGCAGCCCACAACTTTTACCACTCTGCTCCACCATGCCCAGGCTGGCCAGCAATGGTTGGGAAACTCTCAAAATGAAAATGCTTTTCTTTGCAGAGAATGGAACTCTGTGATTCCACAATCCCAGAACTGAAACGCTCTTGCAGTTTTGTAAATGATTTTTAATTGCCAGGAATCTTCTGGCTCACCCCACCACCACCAACCCTTAGAGCAGAACACAAGAATCATTTCTGAAAGGCAATCATAAACCAAGAACAAGCAACCTGCAAAATAAACACACACAGGACAGATTCCTCCAGGAATACCCAAGTGGAATAATCAGAACACAGCCTTTGCAAAGCAGTTCCCTGCATTTAAGAGCTTTTATCAGCTTTAAAAAGTTCCAGCTGTCTGTTTTGGGTGGTAAATGGCCTCAAGCACCTTCAAATATTGGAGCCTCTGCCCAGGCACCAGCCTGCTTTCCACTCAAATAAAAACATAAAACACAGCTCTACTTTCTGTAGTTTGAAACTAAAATAATGTTTCAAAACAGGAGGATACAGTTCTGTCCTAAATTGATTACTATTTACATTAAACAGGCCATTAATACTGGGACAGTACTGGCATAATTTCACTACTGGAAAGTCAAGAAAAGGGCAGTTATTTATTTAACATTCTTTTCTAGGCAGGTATTTATTTAACATTTTTTTCTGGGCAGGTATTTATTTAACATTCTTTTCTGGGCAGGTATTTATTTAACATTCTTTTCTGGGCAGGTGTTTATTAAACATTCTTTTCTGGAGCTCTTTTACCTGGTTTATTCAAACTGTATTTAAGCGGTTGCTTTTCTAAAGGAAACGGAAAGAAAATAATAACTTCATTAAAATATTATAATATATAGAAGAAAAAAACCCCTTTTTTATACTTGGAGCTATTTACTTTAACTTCCACGTTCAGTTTTTACAGATTAATGTGTTCTGGAGCCCAGGCATAAGACCGCAATTTTATCATTGGCAGAACCTTAAAATAATGTTTCTACACAAAACACACCACGGGAATAATTTCCAGGACTATTAAAAAAAAAATAATAATAATAAAAAAGAAGCCAGCTAACAATTTTACTGAGGAAAAAACATCCATCTGTAACTCATCCAGCTCCAGCTCCATCCTTTGCTCTGAAAGACGTGCCAGCAATCACCAGTGAAAATGATCTGCCATCCTCTGCCAAAACAAAACACTCATCCAGCTGAAAATGCCCGACCTGAGCAACCTCCCAGCACTGACCCAGTGACACTTCTCCTCAGGGCTACAGAATCACTTGCTGGCACGTGAAAATGCTGGGTTTTTGCAGGGTAACTTTCACTGCACGCAGAGAATGGAATTCTGTGTTTCCACAATCCCTCTTGCAGTTTTGTAAATGATTTTAATTGCCAGGAATCTTCCGGCTCAGCACTCGAATCCTTGAGAGCAGCACAGGAACAGCTGAAAAAACCCTGATTAACGTGGTTTGTTGAGGGCCTGCTATTTAAAAAAGTTGCTTCTTCCAGATTGGTGCTGCTCAGCAGCAATTCCTGCTGATGCTGTTTTCCTTTTGCAGTGATAAGCACTCCACACTTTTGGGCCGCTCCCTGAAATCATCACCCCAGAGCAGGGCCAGGTTTCTGCACGCCCTGCCACGAGCAATCAGCTGCCAGTGTTCATTTCCACGAGCCTGTCCTGGCAGAGATCAGGGCACAGCAGCCTCCCCCACTGCTGGGACAAAGCCTGACATCAGTGGGGTGGTGCCCAATCTGCTCCTCCCTGCTGACATCCACGGCCAAGCTGCTTCCCCTCCCATCCACACCTGCATCTCCACAGTCACGTCACAGACCGTGTCTGCTCTGCACCAGGAACTGACAGCAATCTGCAGAGAGCACCAGATGCACATGGACTCAACCTGCCTGAACAACTACTGCACCTTTCTTAATTTACTCTGATTTTTTTTATCCTAAACGACATCAGCCTGGAAAAGGGGCCAGGTCATTCAGCATCTTGAAATCTGAAAACTCTGAAAAATGAGTTATTTTCATTATTACAGTAAGGGTCATTCAGCCAGGCCCTCCATGCTTTCTGAAGGTTTCCTGTCCCTTGAAGAGAAGATTGTACTTTAAACCTTAATTGAAGGAGTGATATGAGAAACTGAACACTACAAAATGAAGATCTGAACTATTAGGCAGCTAATTCAAATTAGTGGATGGCATAAAGGGGCTGCTGATTACATTCACACCACGAGGGAAAAAAAAAATCAAAATCAATTCGAAATCAATATCCAAAGTCACTTGAAATTCCTTTGGCAGCTTGCTTGCCTCCCATCATTTAGTACCTTGCAAAGAAAAGTACTCTGATGCCTAAATAAAAAGTGATTTATCCTCTTGACTTGTAAGATGCTGTGGTCACCAATTCCCACTCCCCAAACCAGCTGCACTTCTACAGTTCACGCCATGGTAAGATGTACAATCATCATCAGTTTGAGGGCTCTGACAGGAAAAATATCTGTCCCATAAATCAGAAATGCTGATTAGTTCCTGTGCAGGTAGGGATTGTTTTACATGAAGGAGGATACATGTCTCAAAACAAAACATGGCTAAAATACACGTAGAAAAAAAGCCCTTGTTAATTTGTATTTCCAGGAGCTGTGACTCCAGATCTCATCAGTCAGCAGGAGGATGTGAGCAAGTCTTTGTTTCATTGCCATCTGCTGGCACTGCAGCAAAATGCAGATTACAACCTGCTCTCCAACACCCAAGGCATTTATTACTCTGAATTTTGGTCTAATAACAGCAATTCAGGGGGAAAAATAAAACCCCTTATTAGATCCCGAGACAAGAAAGTATTGGATATCAAACATCAGTCTGTAAATGACGGTAGGAAAAGGGAAACATTAACTGCACTTGGAATTTCCAAGTTACCCGAGGCAGTTCCAGAGACTGAGGCTCCCTGGAGAAATGTGGGCAGTCAGATCAAACTACAACCCTGTCAGCTCAAAGCAGCACGTGGGGTTTTGGGGTTGGGTTTTGTTGGTGCTCCCAAATCACAGAAAATGCTCCTCGGGTTTTTTTTAGGTTGGCCCGAGGTCTTTGCCAACAGGGAGGTTTCTGGTAAATTGTTCTGATGTTCATCCTGGGGAAAGCAGCAGATGGAAGGGTTTGCCTTCCCTAAAGCCCAAACACTGAGCCAGGTAATCTACTTACAGCCACTTCTCCAGCTCACCCTGGAATTGCTGCCTCCCCTGGCTTAACCTCGTTACACACCCTGTCATTAATGGACTTTCACTACCCACAGTTAACACTCCTGCTTCAGACCTCTTAAAACACTTCAAAGGCAAGTAAATAATGAAACTGCACCTCCATTTTATCGCTATTTCTGACTGCCATCCTCACACCTGTGTGAAACAAAACAGAGCCAAGCCAAAAAGTACATTTTTCTAAAGGGCATTTTTAATAAACAAAACACACAAAAAAAATCCCACTGCAGCGTCTTATCTGGATGCAAAAGAATAATTTTCCACTCCAATTTTACCTGCCTTCTAACTTTGACACTTTGTATTCCAAGCATCTGAGCAGCATTTTATTGGCTATGAGCCCCTGAGATCCCTTTCTTTCTTAAATTCTGAACTTTCTCCAGGCTTTTCATTCTTGTCAAGAGCTGCCCAACACACCCAGCAGGGCTTGGGATCAGCTTGTCCAAAAGCACCTTCACAAAAACATCCCCATTTCCAGCAAAGTTTCCAGAATTTTTTGGTAGCAATTCCCCTCAAGTCACTGAACTACACTCATGAGTAGATGAATGTTTTAAGAGAACACGAAGTATCAATCACTCAACCACCTTTGGCTAAAAAAGGGGAAGAAAAGTGCGAAATAAGGAAGAATTAGTAAATGTGTATTTTTGTTAGGGCTCACTACAATAAACCATGGACACAGCTGGTCCTTGGCTTTGGTATTTGTTGCACTGCACTTGATATTTGCTTCCAAGTGGCATTTCCTACACCTCCAACCCATTTTTATTATTTACTGACACTTAATTTTCCAGTTTAGATGGATTTACGAATGAGGAGCCTTAGAAATGGTAAGCAGGCAGAAAACTCATTTGTTACTATTTTAATTCAGAAGAATTAAAGTTTGGTGGTGGTGGTGGTAGCAGGTTGGGTTTTTTTTTTTTTTTAATAATTGTGTATTTTCTGCTTCCATGTTTTTTGATCCATGTTGGTCAAAGAAGTGGGAAAGACAAGGGAATCCTCCAAAAACTGGCAGCTTGGAAAGGGCAGAGCCCACGAGCACTGTGGCTACAAGAGAAAGCAAACAGAACTCAACTGTTCCCCTTCCCATTCCACAATCAATCCATCAGCACACACATCCAGAGTTCCCACTCTCAATTCCAGGCCTGCATTGCTGGCAACAGGGCACTCCTGGGGGTGGCAGCTTAGGCACAGAGAGAAAAGCAGGAGAAGCAGCAGAGAATTCCAGGGGGATGGACACAAATGCTGTTTGCACTGCAAACCCAAACTGCAGCTGATCACAAACTCGTATTACAAGTTTCTGATTGATTTCCATCACATTTCTATTTTGCAGATCAACTCCTACATGACTTTACTTGAAGATAATTTTGGTTTTTTGTTCCTGAATTAGAAC